TATATCTCTGGTTGTATACTTAGTACACTCACACTAATTCTTGTCCTCGTACATGTACTTTGGATAATAATGATCATCATATTCAACCGTCATTAATTGCCCTATGCCCCCTCCCTTCCCCTCCAACCCCTCTGACCTATCTAGAGTTCCTCTATTCCTCCCATGCTCCCTCTCCCTATCTCACTATGAATCAGCCTCCTTATAGCAAAGAAAACATTTGGCATTTGGTTTTTTTGGGATTGGCTAACTTCACTTAGCATTATCTTCTCTAACTCCATTCATTTACCTGCAAATGCCATGATTTTATTCTCTTTTATTATTGAGTAATATTCCATTGTGTATATATGCCACATTTTTAAAAATCTGTTCATCTTCATCTGTTGAAGGGCATCTAGGTTGGTTCCACAGTTTAGCTATTGTGAATTGTGCTGCTATAAATATTGATGTGGTTGTGTCCCTGAAGTATGCTGTTTTTAAGTCCTTTGGGTATAGACCAAGGAGAGGGATTGCTGGGTCAAATGGTGTTTCCATTCCCAATTTTCTAAGAAATCTCCATACTGCTTTCCATATTGGCTGCACCAAATTGCAGTCCCACCAGCAGTGTATGAGTGCTTTTTAAATGCGTTTTATTGGTGCATTACAATTATACAAACTAGTGGGATTTATTGTGATATATTTATTCATGCACATAACATAACTTGATTAATTTCATTGCCCAAGTATCTCCAATGACTATTTGAAGTTCTTTTTCCCCCTACAGCAGTTAGTTGCAGAGATAACAGGCTAATTAGTGATAATTTATTTGATTCTGATGAAATCAGATTGAGGAAACATTAGATAACTATCACCCACATAGTACACATTTAGGATAAGATGGCACTAGGTTTTTATTTCTGATCCAGAAATAAAAAATGGATCAGATAAACTGGATCAGAAATGTATATGATATACTACTGATCTTTTTAAGTACATCTGATATTTTGGGGATTTCATCAATCTTATTTCAAAAAAATTTCATGCTTCATCCAGTAAGTTGTCATTTTCCTTTGAAGTGGTAGTAAATCTTGGGATTTAGCTCTTGACTCAATTATTGTTCCCTTTGCTATAAAATTTATTTTGACAAATTGCATGAAATATTTGTAATAATATTAGGTCCCATATTATTAGTGTTCTACAGAATGTTTCTTTTTCAAATTTCTTATCTAGTGAATATATATATACATATATATATATATATATATAATCATATGTAAGATGCAGTGCTGCATGCTGGAGGGAACAATTCACCTTTAAAAGCTGAGATGTCCAATTTTTAGTTTCTTTATTTTTGTGTCTAACCTTAATAAATATTAGTGCACTTTGATCAAGTTATTGTGACACAAACAAGAGACAGTGTATGTAAACACCTAACTCATAGAAGAAATTAACATATTTTTAAAAGTCTGTTTTATCTTTTTCCCGTTTTTATAATATCACTATAGTCAATTACTATTTAAATAAAACAGAGAATCATATAGTAAACCCACCCATTTATGTATATAGAAGATCTGTGATCATGTAAGACTTGCAAATCTCACTTTTTTTAAGAGAGAGAGAGAGAGAGAGAGAGAGAGAGAGAGAGAGAGAGAGAATTTTTTAATATTTATTTTTTAGTTTTCGTTATCTTTATTTTATTTTTATGTGGTGCTGAGGATCAAACCCAGCGCCCCTCGCATGCCAGGCGAGTGCGTTACCCCTTGAGCCACATCCCCAGCGCATAAATCTCACTTTGAGCAGACAATATTCATGATATCTCATCATAAAATAGCTTTTAGATTAGTTCAAGTCCTCTCATCAGTAATTAGAAACTCTAGTCTTATGTTAGTAGTGAAATCATTGAATTTGTATGACCAAAGTCTTTTTCTGCCTTCTAATGCCCAGGCCTGGTTATAGGTGGGATAACTGTAATTGAGGGAAGGGATGAAGTTGCTTTTAAATTTTCCTTATCTTGGATGTCTTTTCCTTTACTCCAGAGACTCTATTATCTTCTCAACACTATTTTTGATCCCTCCAGATTTGGAGCATAGGAAACAGGTGGAATTAATGGGTATGAAATTGGAATGTTCTTACTGCACTACCACTATTGCAAGCTGATGACACACTCTCCAGGCTTTGCAAAATTTGAGTTTGCTCGTTCTCTCCTAGAGAGTCTCTAACTGGCACTCTATTTTGCCTTATTGAATATTTCTCTTTATCCCCTAGATACTCAGAGTGGTAGAGTCTCTCTGCTAAAGTTTCTTCATTTCTGTGACAGCCTCTTAAACTGCATCTAAGATGACCCCACATTCTATGTTTATTGATTCATTTTTCTCTTGCAGGTGTGGCCCATATGTGGCCACAGATACCATGTTCTTCAAAGCAGCGATCTCAGTAGCTAGGTAGACAATTAGACAGGGTCCCTAATAGTATCCCTATTATTGCCTAGAGAATGAAAGCTCCTTTGGTTCCCTGGGAGCTCCACTCAATTGGCTTGACAGAAAAGCAGATACCTTACTGTCCTGCCTTTTTAGTGGAGTAAAAAGACTGGGACTCACATCTCAGATCTCTCTGGAGAAATCTATTTGAAAATGAGTCCACTGTTTCCTATTTGCCTCACTGTGGGTGAAGAGTTAGAGCCATATAACTAGGTTTTCAGAAACACAATTTGTAAATGCTGCATGTAGTCTTAATTGCCCTTTGAATTGAAGTATCTATTGGTTCTTGGTACTTCAGCTGAAAATTCTTTTTATCAATCTAATACTTTGCAATAAGATTACTAATTAGCATCAATAAAAGTAGACTATTTCAATTATATAATTGAATTAAAATATAGAATTCAAATGAACAGATTGTGTATGACATTCAAATAACATGAACAAAATTTTAAAGTTCAACTAAAAATGGAAAATATCATTGAGCTTCAAGGAGACTGGAGACATGAATTTGAAACAGAACCACCTAACTTGCCATCATTTCTTGATTTCATAAGATAGATAATCTGAATACCAGTTTATATCTCAAGTATAGAAAAGATAAAGAGGAAGGAAAGCCTCTGTGATCCAGAAATACAGGTAAACATTTAGTGAATCTGTTTCCTTAAACTGAATGTTGGGAGTATACCCGGATTATGTATTTCATGACAATAAGACCTCATATGAAAATGGAACTTTCCAAATTCACTTCTGTCATTATTCTTGTTATAGTGACATGAAAAATTTATTTGTCAACATAAATGTTAACTTTTGTTCAGAAAGGGCCTAAAATAGAGAATTTTGGGGTAGGTCTACAGAAAAGAAAGTTATTTTCACTAATTATTGGGAACAATCCACTGAAGACCCTGGTTAATTAGTATGTGAGTAATTAAAGCAGTATGAAAAACAGCTGATAATGCAAAGATGAGAGTTTGCTAAGGAATTTGTTTATTTCCAGTTATGATTCTACTACTGGCTTTTGTCAAATAGTATAATTATTTAAATTTGATTTTTATAACTAACCATTTGTTGAAAATACAGTCTATATTCCAAATGAAAATAGCTAATTTGTTTGTTTATGGTTATAAAAGTAATACATGTTACTTGAACTTCCATTGTTATTTAAAATTAGGACAGACAAATCCCTCTTGCTCTCACTCCATTATCATTGATGACCACTCTACAGCATCTGATATTATTATTGGCTTCTTATTCTGTTTGAAATTGTCTTCTTTGTTTCCTGACACACTATTTTCCACATCAGATGAAAGCTCAATGAGGGCAGAAATATTTTTCCATTTACATCTGTCTTACTTATTTCCTGTTTAGAACAGTACTTGATGAAAGGAAGGTATCATTAAATATTTCTTTAATATTTGTCCTTTTTTCATATCTGTGCCTTCCTCTTCTGATTCTTCCTTTTCACAAATCTTAAACCTGACTACTTTCCCACCATTTAACAATTGCCCAGTCACAGGATTCTTTTGACAAATAAGATAGCAAAATTGTTAGGAACCTCATGAATCTCACCATCTGATTCTTATAATTTATTCCACTGTGTTTTTAAATATTATTTGCACTGAATTAATTCTACTTTAATTGCAAAAAGGAAATGTTTTCCCATGTTGTAAAAATACATTGAGGATATTTTGCTTATTTTCTGTATTTCTTTATATAAAATATGCATGTAAATATTGGCATAAGTATACTAAATGCTTTGAAACTTTATGCTACAAATGAATGTATAAGAACAAAAACAAGCCATGTAGAACTGGTTAGAACAAATAAATAAATAAATTCTAAAAAAACCTAAAACCAAAATAACAACAGCAGCAAAATGAGGGCAATTATATTGAGTCAGGGAAGGATTTTCTCCATATTCAATATCCATATCTACCCTTCTCTGACTTGAAGAATTTTGTTTTCCTTATTAGTATAGCTAACTAATTCTATTTCCTATACAATACGTCTTGAATACCAATATAGACATTTTAATCATTATTTTACCATGCATTTTAAAAAAGTCAACGTTAAATTCAGTGTACTAGACCAAACTTACTTTTCATATTGACTGTATTTTTTGAACTTCCAGTTGTTTCTAAAGAAGATGAGATTTGTCACAATAATTGTAACCTGGTTGTTACAGAACAAAACTGAAATCATTGAGCAAGTTTATTTTCTCCTTTAAAAAAGATTAAAAACAATAGCAACATCAAAAGCCTAGTATCTGTGAGGTCTTGGGTTCAATTCCCAGTCCTGAAAAAATGCCCCTAAACAACAATGATTAAAAAAAAACATTTTTGATAATTTTGCATCATTAAACTGATGACAAGTCACTGATAACTTTTCACGTGTTTATTTGCAGTCCATATTTCTTCTCTGGCAAAGTGTCTGTTGAAATACATTGCCCATTTTAATTGTTTTTACTGTTGAGTTTTGAGAAGTCTTTATATATTCTGGACATAAGATTTGTTGAACATGCAATTTGTTCGTGTTTCTGATTTTTCATAGACACTCCATCACAGCGAGTACAGTTTATTCTTGGAACCGAGGATGATGACGAGGAACACATTCCTCATGACCTTTTCACAGAACTGGATGAGATTTGCTGGCGTGAAGGTGAGGAAGCTGAGTGGCGAGAAACGGCCAGGTGAGGATTTTGGTTGAAGGTTGAAGGCATATTAAAGAATTTTTATGTTATTGGAAAAAGAATTTCCCACTTCAACGATTTCACAAACATCAGTGATTACTGCTGATTTCTGAACTTGCTCATCTGGCCTGGGCATATCCTATAATGGGATATAGGTCAGAATGAAATCTGAAGGCAGTAATTATAGTAAACAGTGACGCAGAGCCAGCAACAGCTGCAGTCTTAAAGATATACAGTAGCATAATTTGTGTGTCATCAACAAAACAATAGAAATCTAAAAGTAATTTATTTCTATCTTTTCAGCTGTTGGCTTGAACCCAAATTGGTGATATTACATGATAATTTGAGTGTGGGCTTTTTTTTTTTTTTTTTTAAGAAAGGGCAAATATTATGATAAGAGGCTTTAGGTATAGGCCTGGATTTCATGTCCTATTTAGTGAGGATAAAATATTTCGTAATATGTTTATAAGATATGAATACATTTAAACAGAGTGTTTTATCAAAATGGTTTTTCTATAATTTATAATTCCTCTTTGTATGCTGCCAAATAATTAATGAATTAGTATAAAAACTAATGAATGAAATTTCTTGCTTGCTTTTAACTCATTCTTGCTTCTTTAACATTTATGGAGTATCCATTATATGCTAGGTGTAATGGCTATAAAACAACTACAACAAAACCTTAGGTCTTTCCCTTAACAATTTTATAGTCTAACTTAAGTCAACAAATATTGTAAAGGCTGTAAATGAATGCTCTGGTTCAGGTATACAAAAGGAACTGTGGGCACAGCTAGGGTTGTCATTTACCCAGTGCTTCTCTAATTTTTATGTGAATACAAATCACCTGATATCTTGTTTGAAATGTAGATTTGGTAGGTTTTGGGCATGGAGTCTGGTCATGCTTTTCTAATGAGCTCCCAGTTGATGACATGTGTAGCAAGTATCTAAACCACAGGGCTGAAGGAAAGGGGAGCTGGATAGCTTCCCTGGCATAGGTTATTGCTCAGCCGACTCTTGAAGTTAACTGGGCAAAAAAGCAGAGGAGCAGGTATACGAGGAGGGGAACATGGTGTGTTATTGATTCAGGGTTTCCTGTTTTGTGGGGCTATCCTTTCCATGGCCAGACAGCTCTAATTATTAATTTTTTTTTCTGTTATTAGTGGACCTCAGATTGCAATAGTTTTCTGAAAGTTACAGAACTCTATTGGATCATGTCAAACTTGTAGGTTTATTTAATTATTGTCTTAACGATATCACATCAGAATTAATATGGAATTGATCATATAATCATGGTAATGAATTATGAATAATAAGGGCCCACATAATTTTTGTTTGATACAGTGGCCTTTACAGCTCTCTCTTATTTAAAAAATACTAAATAGAAGAAAACCAAAATGACTAACATCTAGTTCATCCATGTTGACATCTATAAAAATGGCTAATATTTGCCAATATTTGACATTAAAAAGTATAACATAGTAGAAAACCCAGGGTATCCCTCTACCTGTATGCAGGTAGTTGTCTTCAAAGGCAACTAGTTAACAGTGTTGTGCATATTCCCAAAAAACTTCAGATTCCAAAATCCAAAATCCAAATTCCAAAATGCCCTTTTTCAGTTTTTACAATAGGAATTATATAACACACGGTGTTCATACTTTATTTTTCTCACTTATATTTATAACATTTCCTGTATCAGCAACATAGACATACTTTTTTTTTGGGGGGGGCTACCAGGGATTGAACTCAGGGGCACTTGACCACTGAGCCACATCTTCAACCCTATTTTGTATTTTATTTAGAAACAGGGCCTCGCTGAGTTGGTTAGCACCTCACCATTGCTGAGGCTGGCTTTGAACTTGAGATTCTCGTGTTTTAGCCTCCCAAGCTGCTGGGATTACAGGCATGCACCACTGCACCTGGCTAGACATACCTTTTCTGCATTCAGCTGTATGGAAAAACTTTATATAACCTATCATGATAGACATGTAGACTGAGTTTTTCCCCCATAAAATTGTTATAATGTTTATTTACACATGTATCTTTTAGGTACTTATATAGGGTAAATTTGTAACAGTAGAATTTTATGTACCAAAGAAAGCAGACATTTTAGATATTGCAAAATTACCATCATAAAATGTTTTACTAATTTACACATCCACCAACAGTGTATGAAGAGTGACTTATTTCCCCAAACCCTTGTCAGGCTAAGTCATCCGTTTTAATTTTTTCCTATTTCATATATGAAAACATGAATCTCATTGTTTTAATTGGTTTTCTTTAATTGTTAGAGAGGTTCAATATCTTTTCATGTTTTATTTTTTTCTGGTGTACTTATTGTTCATTCCTTTTACCCTTTTGTGTCAAATCATTCATTATTTTATTTGCCTTTTTGAATACTTTAAATTGGTGATATGTTATTTAGTTATTACCTCTGGGTTTTGTTTTTGTTTTTGTTTTGCATCAGGGATTGAACTCAGGGGCACTTGGACACTGAGGTACATCCCTAGCCCCATTTTATATTTTATTTAGAGACAGGTTTTCACCAAGTTTCTTAACGCCTCATCATTGCTGAGGCTGGCTTTGAACTCCTTTGAACTGCTTTGATCCTCCTGCTTCAGCCTCCCAAGCTACTGGGATTAAAAGTGTCCACCTCTGTGCCCGGCCAGTTATTACTTCTTTTAATGAAAATTTTACATGAATTAACCAGAAACTTTCCAGTTTTACTTATGATAATTTTTATTGTAATATTTTAAAAATAGCTGTTTAAAAGTTTTTATTTAACCTCATCAATTTGAAGATTAAGAACTTTCTACTTTATTTTTATTCTCCAACAATATAGAAAACTAACTACAAAGGAGCTTTAAAATATATATGTGCTCAAAATTTTTATTTGATGGCAGGAAAGCAATGTATAATAATCTTTTCCACAATTAAGTGATAGAACCTTTGCTCTTTCATGAATAAAGTTATTGATAAGGAAGATAAGGTGCCCACCTTCGTGTTTAAGGCTGGGAGCATCTGTCTTTCACTGGTTATAGGAAACAGGTTAACCCTGATGACTTAAAGGAAGATGTGGTGGTTTTGATGAGTAGAAAACTCTAGTTACTTGGATTCACTTGAAGTTATTGTTAAGGCTTATATTTTGGAAGCTTTTCTATTCTTTAACTTCATCCTTAAACTGAGGAGTAAAATTGGAATATGTTTTGGCAATAGTAACTTCCTTATTCTTGGAATGGTTGGTGATTTTCACCTTCTAGGTCAGATGGTGATCCATTTCTTTTAACCAGAAACTTTCCAGTAACTTTTCCATCCTCATAAAGCTGGGAAGGGACAGAAGCAATACAAGAATCTAGCTTTGAGCTGGGGTTGTGTCTCAGGGGTAGAGCACTCGCCTCACATGTGCGAGACCCTGGGTTTGATCCTCAGCACCACATAAAAATAAATAAGTGAAACAAAGGTATTGTGTCCAACTACAACTAAAAAATAAACATTAAAAAAAAGAATCTAGCTTTTCACTCTGTCACAGTTGAGCAGGTAGTATTGTATCATTCTCTAGAGGATTACATTGAAGAAGTTGTTTATCCTAAACCACCACAATGTATTGCTACTTATCTTTTTTTTAATTTATATATGACAGCAGAATGCATTACAATTCATGTTACACATATAGAGCACAATTTTTCATATCTCTGGTTGTATACAAAGTATATTCACACCAATTTGTGTCTTCATACCTATACTTTGAATAATAATGTTCATCACACTCCACTATCCTTAATAACCCCATGCCTCCTCCCTCCCCCTCCAACCCCTCTGCCCTATCTAGAGTTCATCTATTCCTCTTGTGTTCCCCCTCCCTATCCCACTATGAATCAGCCTCCTTATATCAAAGAAAACATTTGGCATTTGATTTTTTGGGATTGGCTAACTTAGCATTATCTTCTCTAACTTTTCCATTTACCTGCAGATACCATGATTTTATTCTCTTTTATTGTTGAGTAATAGTCCATTATGTATATATGCCACATTTTTTTAATCCATTCATCTATTGAAGGGCATCTAGGTTGGTTCCACAGTTTAGCTATTGTGAATTGTGCTGCTATAAACATCGATGTAAGACCCAGAATAGCTAAAGTCATCCTTAGCAGGAAGAGTAAAGCAAGTGGCATCACTATACCAGACCTTAAACTATACTGCAGAGCAATAGTAACAAAACCAGCAAGGTATTGGCACCAAAACAGACTAGTAGAACAATGGCACAGAATAGAGGACACAGAGACTAACCCCCCAAATTACAATTATCTTATATTAGATAAAGGTGCCAAAACCATACATCAGAGAAAAGATAGCCTCTTCAACAAATGATGCTGGGAAAACTTGAAATCCATATGCAACAAAATGAAATTAAACCCCTATCTCTCACTATGCACAAAACTCAACTCAAAATGGATCAAGGACTTAGGAATAAAACCAGAGACCCTACATCTAATAGAAGAAAAAGTATTACTGCTTATCTATAAAGAGCAAAGTTAATTATTTTAACAATATTAAGAAGGACCAATGTTTGTAGTCATGCTTTTGGAAGCTTAATGGTACAGCTGTTTGAGGTTCAGGGAGACATCTGATGAGCAGTCAAAATAGTAACAGACATTGAAGAGGAGGGTAGATGAATTTTGGCTGAGATACAACACTTTAGGGGTAAACAGAATATATTTATTGAGAACTTAGAAATTTAGTGGTTTTAAAGTGGCAGAAGTAATTTTGTTTTTCTAAAAGGACTAATTTGGGTTAATTCATGAATCCATCTGACTTTTCAAATGCAGTTTCATTCTAATCAATCATTAGCATTAATTTGAAGCACTTTTTTTTTCTTTTGGTTAATATTCCAGGTGGGATTAATAATTGTCTATCCTAACAGTGGAAATAAAAGCAATATTTTATCAGCACACTGCACCTGTCACATATCACATCTTGAATAATTTATGCCCACTGTTATTGCCAAGTGAAACTTAGGCAAACTTTTAGATTTTGAAGTTTAATTTTTGAATCATAATTATTTAATAGATGTTTCTGAAAACCAGCTGTTCACTTTTTAAAACTCTAAAAGAAGCATAAGAAGAGGCTAATGAAATCAACACAATTACAATGTCATGCATATAAATAGTATATCATGTTATTAATAGAAAAGTGAGTAAAGCCACCACAGCTGTGTGGTGATGGAGACAACATGTTCAACTCACTGTGGTTGCCCTTTAAAAATGCTTCCCACAGATGAGCTCAGAGGAAGCCAGGCAGGGGGTACACTTAGCCTCTGATACATACATGGTAGTGTGGAAAAGAAATATTACATCAAAACAGTTTTATTGATGTAGCGAAGATATTTGATACTCAAAATTTAGTAAATGTTCAAGTAATCTAGAATTTTTAGCAGCATGTGAAATGTGAAGATCATGTGAATTAAGAACATTGGGCTTAGATATGTTTCACTTTCCTTAAGAGAGGTATAGGTGTTCTGTGATTATATATGTTATTCTCGAGCTCCACCCTAACCATATCCACCTCCTTCCATGTGCCCTAACTCTCCTAAGAAAGGATGTTTCATTTCCTCCAAAGCTATAATTTTGGATGATCTAGGAACTTCTTTCTGTATGGATATAATCAGAGAATAAAAATTCCTAGAAAAGTTGAACTGAGTTGGTGGTGATAGCATACACAGGAAGAGTTAACTTCTCTAGAAAACATTTATTTCTATCTGGAAAAAGAATTTTCTTTTGTATATTTTCAATTCAAGTATTGTACAGCAGATTGTCATTGACTTAATCCTCAAAGAATTCATGAAACACTTATTTAATGTTTAGTAGAAAGAGACTTCGGTGTGCTAATCATGGATGAAAACAGATCTAGACATACTGGAAGAAATTAAAATAGTCTGCTCAGGGTTTAAATCTTCTCCCATCCCATATAGAAAATGTCATGTATTTGGCCTTCAGCTTTTTATTTTTTGTATCATCCATCACATCACATTCATGCTCTGAGACTCCTATTTGCTTTGGTTTGCTATTCAAACAAATGTCAGCAGAGTTTATTTGAAAACTGGAACAAATTGCAGCACTTAAGGTCATTAACTGCAATCAGACATCTTGCAACTCATAGTATATTTAGGGACTAAATAGACCTAATGTGTTCCAAACCTGTTTATGGGATAAAAAAACAGAAAAGAGAGACATACTCATGTGACATATATATTATTTTATAGTCTCTTTAAAAGTGTTTGTTTAAATGTCTCTTAAAACTTTTGGCATCATTCTGGGGTTACTGAATCGTGTAATGTTTAGTATCTTTAGTAACGTGATATTTGTTACTTGTGGGTTCCTTTTTATGGAAAGCACCTTCTGTCTTCTATAATACTCATAAAATCTATGGGTACATCAAACCATCCATGCATGTAACATATTTGGTAATTTAAACTACCAAACTGCTTGGAACTTCCAGAGACTCCATCCCTTCTTATCAGGGTTCTTAAAATTGAATTTTTTACTTTCAAAACAGCCAAATGAAATGATGTAAATGTTTGGTCCCTTATTTAATTGTTTTTACTATTATTTAGAAGTAAAATTTAACTATAACTTCCTTTTAAGAAAGGGCTAGACCATTTTATATGGATGAAGAGGCATATGAATATTTAAAAAAATAAAACGTTATTACAATTTACAAAAAATACTATTGTATGGGTCAGTTTTACTGATGTAATTAAGAAATTAGGAAACATGATTTTTAGTTCAGGGTCATGTACAAACACTCTTCAGGTATCCACTCGAATAAAAATTTTAAAGACAAAATTTTAGAAGCAATTTTTTAACATGTGGATGGTAGAAAGTGCTATAACTCCAGAAATAATAAATGGAGGCCATCTTCTCATAGGAAAAAAAATCTATTTCACCTCAAACACGATTAATATCCTTTCATAACCCTATGTGTTCTTTGCCACCCAACATATTAGAAACTAGATTTAAAATCCAACATGATTCTTCAATCAAATTAGCACTAGCCTAAGTACCTCTATATAGTCTTTCTTTTGCTCGTTTTGTCTGAAAATCACATCATGTCAGAAATAAATAAGGTGACAGAAGACTTAATAAAAGTTGCATCTATTCCTTTGGTGCCACCATTTTGTGGAACATTTCATTATAGTCCATTACACAGAATAGGATATTTGGTTCTTACAAAGGAAAAATATCTATTTTTTTCTAGCATAGTAGGTAATAAAGAAAACAAATATAGTCAGTGTAAAAAAGAAAGGGAGAAAATAAGAACATTTTTCAACTTGAGATTGTTTTTAGACATGGACAAAAATTAAATGTTCAATCAGTTTGTACTATAAGAATTAACATAAGATCTTTGAGCTGAAAAGAACCATAATAAATTCAACACAGGCAATTATATTATGGTGAGAAATATGCACAGACTGGGAAAAATAAAATTAACAACATCCTGGAGTTGAATCCTGCTTTGACAAGATCACTGGCTAGGTGATCTTGGACAAATAATTTAATGTGCTGAGTTTATCACATTTTTATTCAGATGAGAAAATTGTAACCCAGAGAAGTTGAAAGAATTTTCCTTGGTCACATGGTAGCTTAATTGTAGAATATGGACAAACCTAGCTTTATTTTTATTCTCAACAAGTCCAAGAAACATTCTACAAAACAATTCTGCCTCAAATTGTCCATCAAGAGGTTGATTCTTTATGATGCTGACATTCATAATGTGACCATGGCCTTAGTAATTTATTGATAATTTAATAATACTTACTAATTCTAATTTATTATATTTATTAAAATCATATTCACTCTCACCAACAATTCTAATTAAGATTTTTATGCTAGATGAATAGCTAAAATGGTCATCTAGATCAACTGATATCATCTGAATTATGCTAAAAATATAATGAATCTCAATGGTTTTAAACTACAAGTTTGTTTGTTTTAATGGCTCATTGTTCATCTGCATCATGGGATCAGTGGAGGCTCCTCTGTTCATTATAGTTACTTAAAGACTCTGATTGATAGAGAAACCTCTGTCTCAAACATTGTTTGTTTTCATGCCCAGGATAAAAGAGAGCTCAGAGGCTCTCAGCAAGAAAATACTCCAATATGGAATTGGCACACATAATTTCTTCTCTGAATTCATTGACCAGAAATCATTTTCACCATCATTAGTCACAGTGACATGCTCTCACCTGGTTAAAAAGGAGCCAGGTAGTAAAATCCTACTCTTTAGTAGGAAAAGGGGAGAACCAGTTACAGTTCATGAGCAATATTGTAATATTCTTCATGTGATGTGTGAGGTATTGTGGCTCTGTTAAGGGCTGAAAAGCTTTAAGAATCACTAACATGAAAAATTTCTAACTGTGTAAATAAAAACATCTATAAAATTGCCAACCTAGAAGAGGATAACTTTCAGTGACTTGGGGCTGAAATGTCAGTTTTTTCCAACCTCAATATGTTCTCTATAGGCATAGCTCTTCCTCCCTGTCTGCAAACTTTGCAGGATTGGCTCTTGTTCACTATTGCTTTCCTTTTCACTTCCTGACCATTTTTTTTCCCTCCTAAACACCACCAGACACAGATGCAAAGCTGTCTTTTTCTTTTTTTCTTTTCTTTCTAAGAACTCATTGATCTCTCTTGCTACTCTGCACATTAATTATTCTGAAAAACTCATTGGTTAGTTACTTTTAGATGTTCCATTTGATTCCCTGTCTAGTTACTACCACACATTTGTCATCTGTGGAGTTGGGTCATTTGATTACATAAAATATCAGTATAATATTATATATAGAACTTCTGTGATATTGCATGATGAGAGGATGTAGGGCCCAAATGACTAAGGACAGATGGAATGAAGGAAATGGTGGGAGATTGAGGGAAAGGCAATTTAGGATAGGGTTCATTAGAAAGGAATTAAACTGGTGAACTATTAGATTAGAGAGCAAGACCCTAAAGCATTGAGTGGTTGCTGCCAAAGTAGTAAAATCATTGGTTTCTCTTTATCTCTTCTACTAATCTTGCTTACAAACCATTCCCAGGTATTACTATTCATTTCACTCTAAGAAGGCAGTAGTGCCTCATTTGGCATCACAGTATCATGGTTCTCTTCTTCTGCTTCCCTGGAAGGAACACTCAGGGAATGGAGTCTTAGTTCAGTTCTCACATGTTCAGAGCCTAGGAAGTTTCTTTCACTAATTTTCATTCAACAAGCCTAATAAAAACGTTTCCTACAGAATAGGCAACAAATTATAATAGCCTCCCTAAAATTTGAATGGGAATATTATCAAGAACTAAAATATTTAGGCTTAATTTCTTCCACTAAACTAAATATTGTATTTTTTTATTTTCTTATTCAATTAATATTATCTTTACATGAAGAAGTATGCTGTCTTTTTTAGCCCTATATCAGATTCATGGTGACCACTGGTTGTTCAGAGTTAGAAAAATTAACAAAAGTAATAAGAGCTTCCTTTGTTTTTAATAATCTTTCAATTACAAAATGAATGTTTTTTAATGAAACTAAAATGAGTAACTTGAATGAGATTTTACCTACTTCCCAAACCCATGAAACTAAGAAGAAGCATGAAAAAAATCCCTGGTACCAGGGATTGAACTCAGGGGCATTCAACCACTGTGCTGCATCCCCAGCCCTCTTTTGTATTTTTTTATTTAGAGACAAGGTCTCACTTAGTTGCTTAGGGCCTTGCTTTTCTGAGGCTGGCTTTGAACTTGTGATCCTCCTGCCTCAGCCTCCTGAGCTGCCATGATGCCTGGAAACATGATTATCTTTCTATTTATAACTTATATAATTGTCAAAAAGGATCACTCATCTACAATATAAAATTCAATGTGCTGATAAAAATATTTATTTGTATAGGTGGTTGAAGTTTGAAGAAGATGTGGAAGATGGAGGGGAAAGGTGGAGCAAACCATATGTGGCTACTCTTTCATTGCACAGCTTGTTTGAGCTGAGAAGTTGCATTCTGAATGGAACTGTGCTGCTGGACATGCATGCCAACACTTTAGAGGAAATTGCAGGTATATCCTTTTCTCCTTTGTCTATTTTGTTTCTGTGGATTCCGCTGATTTTTATCACTCTCTTTTCCTTTTTATACCTGTATGAGTAATTCCATTCATGTGAACTTTGGAAAACAAATTCTCATGATCAATGTCTGGGGCCTTACAAGTCATCTTCTACCCCTTAACTTGAGGTAAAAAAAATAAAAAAAGAATCTCAGATAAATGTAGTCTAGATGGTTAGTGATGACTCTAGGGCAAGAACCTAGAGGTACTGACCCCCATTTAGTATTTATTTATCACTTGTATTTAGATTAACACCATTAGAAAACTGAAAGAAAAAAAACCCTAATTTTTCCAATATTCCAAAATATGAAATAACCACATGAAAAATTTCAATAATTAGGAAAAATATTGGATTAGAATGGGCACAGAAAGATACAGCCATTTATTTTAAATTGAATTAAAACTTTTACATTCTAGAGAAAGCCAAGTATTGCAGCCATGCTTCATAATTTACCACTAAGTTTAGACTCTGGGACAAATGATTTGTACTGGAATTCTATTATGGCTTTATGCACCATCAGTTGTATTTGTGAAATGTATCACTGTCTCAGAAATAGAGTCAAAGAAAGAAGACACGGTGTAACAGAATAAAATAATACAAAAAATACAGAAATCAGTTTTGAAAGAGTATAAATGAAATGATTAATGAAGATTTTAAAAATAAAAATAAAGAAAAGAATAAGGCAGGCTCTTTTAAATTCCTACTTTGGGAAAAAATAAAATTATTTTTACGTGGGATTTATTTATGAGATAGAAAGATTTAAAGGAGGCTTTAATATGTTAATTATATTGCAGAAATGGGGAAAAACTCCCAAAACTATGTGTGTGTGTTTTAAAAATCACAAATAAGAGAAAAATGAATTGGTATTTAATCATCATATTAGAAAAATAAGGTATCTAATTTAATTTCTAGAACAGCCCATAAAGTAGGAATGATGCCCAGTTTTCAGTGAGAAAATGGAAACTAAAATTTCCATGGCCCAGATCCATCAAAAGGCCTCTGATTTTAAGCCCAGTGTTCTTTCTTTTATATTAAACTGCTGTCTGAAGAAAAAGTAGATGTTGAAGTAGATGTTGCCTGCATTTTAATGGTGGTTTAACCATTTTATGAATTATTGATTTGGGTCATTTGTGGTGATAGACATGCATATATTGAACCACCTCAAATCAAGAAAAATAAGCCTTCTTCCCTAAGAATATACTACATATAAAGAAGTTACCCTTTAAAATACATATATGGAGGCTGAAAGACTATATGAATTTAGAGTATGATTTTGGAAAAACACAGGCTATACTGATGGTTGACACTAAATCAAGATTTAAAAAGGTCAACTTAGAAATGTGCAAACCTAAGAATGTAGGAATAGTAGCTATTCCCCTCAATTTCTTAGTTTTACATTTTAGGTCTTGTTGATATTCAATAAACAGTTTTTGTATTTTAAAATGGTGGCTTTTCCTAAACTTTGAAGTTTAGGAAGCTCTAAACTTTGTATATAATCTTTGAGATACTCATAACAAACTTGTAGTTTAGTATTATCATTAGCCTTATTTCTTAAATATAGACACTAATAATCTGAAAGTTAAAAGATTTTGCCTTAAGGAGTTCATTTCTTCTGCTTCACTTACCGATGGCATTATCTTTGAAATTGACTAATCCAAATAAGTTTTATATTGGCTTTATTAATGAAATCGTCAAATTCCTCAATCTGTCAAAATAAGCCTCAGGTAACATACTCTTCATATATCTTTACCAGGCTTTAAATTTCTTAAAGCATATAATTTCTAATGCTTTTTTCAGGAAGTTATTCTTACCAGGAAATCTTTTCCCAGTAATTTGACTAAAGCTCTGTTGCTCATTTCATCGGTTTAGTTCAATTTTACTGTCTAAAATTATGTTTCTTTTCCCTACCCTGGCCTCCTTCTCTAAGTTAGTTCTGTAGAATATGTGAAGATTAGCTGTGTTAAATCTAGCTTTTTCAAGCAAATTGCATTCTCTATGTCTATTCTTACAATGAAAGTAGTTCAATGGAAGCTTGATACCCTAAAATAGCTTTTTTAGTATTCTTTCTGCCTTTCTAATTAGTGTCTTTCTGACTCTGAAGTAGCCCAACTTGAACGTCCCACTTTCAGTGAGGAGCACCTTGTAAAATGTTGTTCAGGATATGTCAGTAGTTTAGAGCTAACATCCTAACATCATGTAGAAAATAATGGTACAAATGTTTGTTTTGGTCATTTTACCTTAGATTCCTTTTCAATTCTTAATGAGAAATTTCTTCTCACCTAGTAAGCATAATTTAATTTTATTTAAATTAAAAGTTATTTATTTCTGCCCTCAATAAAATCTCACTATTTTCTCCTTACAGCTTGTAATCACTTTCTTCTTGTTTATACTTACTGCTCTTTTCATGTTATGACAATTGAGCTGCATTACTAAGTGTGTAATAAGTAAGTCTGTTTTACGTTTTTAGGATTTCTGACTTGGCAAAGAACTTTCATATCCATTAATGTAGTTTATTTTCACAACCTTATGAAGTAGGAAAGAGGCTATTTGCCCCTTTTTAAGATGGAAATAATTTCTTTTGATCAACCCATAATCATAGATTTTTTTTTGTTCTGTTTATAATAAATTGTGATCAGAATCATTAACAATAAGACTTGGAAGTTTTTTCCCTCCTCCTGTTTATCATTACTTTTTCCATTTGTTTGGCAGTTATAAACTAGGGACATATATTAGTCGATTGTTTTCCTTTTCCAAAAGTTAGATTAAAAGTTTATCTTCAAGGACGCTAGGCCCTAGTACTTTGTGAATGCACGGCTCTGAAGTACTGTTTTCTACATGTTTCCTAGTAGAGAAATATGCCCTAGATATTGTTTTGGAACGATCAAGGATTTTTATATCAGTGTTTTGATGTTTTTGACAGACTTAGATAATTCCTTAAGAGATTTTGTTAGAATTAGGAGCAGAAAATCCCATTTGTATCTGGCAGGTCTGTCAAGAATTTCTGGTATAATTAAAGTTGGATTTTCTCTTGGATAAAGTTAATTTAAAATGTATCTATTTCCCAGTGTTTCAGCGAACTCAATAAATCTAAACTTCAACCTTAAAAACATTACTTAACCTTTTCAAATCCAAAATTCCCCCAGACATATTTTCTTACTGTGATTTATTCTGATGTGGAGGCTAATTTTATTGAAAATACTTCCTAATTATATTTATATACATTATAGACAATTTAATGATCTATGTTAATCTCTTTGAAGTTCAGCTTTATAAAGATTAAAAATGAAAATATGCTCTTTCCAGCGTGAATACTTTATCCTGATTCTGTCAATGAAAGTTACAGAGAAATTAGAACCAAACTAAAGTTAGTACCATGAACAAATGATCAATCATAGCTTTCAACTCATTGAAGTAACTTCCGTTGTTTAGAATCTTTTATTGAAATATAAATCCACAAAGTTTGTTCCACTGAATATAAACTGCAGACTTGGGAATATAGGACTAACCGTATACTTTTAAACACATTTGTATTATAAAACTCTTTGGTCTGTGAAGTAAGTGTTCTATGGTGGTTTATATTTTTATGATTTTAGTGCTGGCAACCAAAAGCTAGAATTCCAAAATTTCATGTTCCCTACTCTTCTCTCAATTTTTTTTTTAAGGAAAAGACAATGGGTTTTCAAAGTACTTATATGATAATCTTGAAAGAGGCATAGATTTATATAGGATTTGCAAAATCTTTTGATCTCTAAGAGCATTTCGTAGTTAGGATGGACTGATGAGTGCCTGATATTAGGAGGAGAAATAATTTTTCTTTTTTCTGAGGCCTTTTTACATAAATGATTGTAGTTTTTCTAGCACCTGCTTAACAATAGAATAGGGTGACCTATTTATCCTTTTTCTTCTTGCTTCTTCCTTTATCAAGATCCTGGCATTGTGCTTTGGCAGGCGAGACTGTATCATTTAGACATCATAGCCTGCTGAGATTGCAGGACTTGACTCTGGGCCCAAAGTGATTATGGTCCATTATCCTTTCCTACTTTTCAAGTTAATTCTGATATATATTATAGTGATGAAGAGAACAATGTAAGTGATTATTGAATCAGATTCCCATTGGTACTTAAATCTCACCCTAGTATAAGTTATATTCATCAACAAGAAGATTAGCTTTTCTACTTCATTAATGGGTTATTTGATGATGTTATACCTCAAAGGAGTTTATTGTATATTTTGTGTAACTAATGAGCAGATAAGTATTTTTTAAAATATTTACTTTCTCTTATGTAACTGTTTAAAATAAAGACATCATTGCTGAGAAACTGTGAAGCTAGCAGTCTATGAATCTTTGTAGTGCTCAAAACTGAAAAAAATTGTAGCTTATTAGAAATGAAAAATTATAAATATGTTCACAGTTTATTATATAATTAATTTTTATGATTAATTAGAATATCAAATAGGCAATCATACCATGGCTTACGGATGAAATTGCCTTATAATGATGTCATATTGGTGTTTTAATAATCTATTTTAAGTTATTTCATGAAGCATATATTATAAGCATATTTTATACATATTTTTTCCATCCTAGCAAGGATTCAGTATAATGTCATATATTTTGAATATTTATCAGATCTTTTATTTTAAAGTAATTTAGGGGCATTATAACTACTGATCGTCAAAGAGTTGACAGATGGATTTAAATATTATCTTAATATTATATATCTTCATAATTGAAAGTGACCTTTTGAGATAGTTATAGTGGCTGAAATCTGAATATTTCACATATTTATTAAGGCTGACTACCAAATATTTATTTTCACCTCTTTTCATGGGAAATAGTAAATCAATAGAGCAAACTATCTATATCCCACATTCCAAACGTGGCCTGCAGCCCTATCTAATAAGGCTTTTTAGCTAAAAATGGTGATTACATTTTACATGGTTGAAAATAATAAAAAAAGAAAATTAGTATTTTTAAATGTGACATTATGTGAAATAAAAATTTAAGTAACCATAAAAACATTTTGCTGGAGCACATCTGTGCTCATTTGTGTATGTTGTTTGTGGCTATTTTTGTGCTATGAAGACAGAGTTGAGTGGTTATGCTGGAGAGCACATGGTCCAGAAAGCCTAAAATTTTTATTATCTGCCTCACTTCAGAAAAAGAGTGTCTACGTCTGGTTTACAGAATTGACTCTTCAGTGAAGGGCAGTTCTTAATTAGTCTAAACTAATTATGTGAAGCCTGGTTTCATTGCAAATGACTGATTCTGGATGGGCAGGGCTTTGTCAGTTGGACCTAGGAGAATTTTTCCCGTCTGGGGGAAGACCCTTTTAAGAGACAATCACAAAAAGTTAATCAAATTTCTTGTTGGATATGAGCAAGGACATATATTTCCTTGTTGCTGACTGCTACCTTACGTCCATAAGGAACACCAGGTGGAGGTTAAAACTTACATGTAGAGGAGAGAAGCAGGCAGAACCACAGAGGAATGGAATCAAAGCCAGCCTAACTTGAGTCTTCCTATTATGTGAACCAACAAAATTAATTATTTTAGCTCGTTTGATATGTATTTTCTATTATCAGCTAGCCCAGCTTTTTCTCTATAACATATACTATAATAAAATATGAATGTATTAAAACTACTGCAAATTTCAAGTTAGGGACTCATAGCCTAGTTAAAGATTATTACAAAGAAAATCTTGTATTTGGAAATATTATTTACCAATAGCTTCAATATTCCAATTGGTGCATCAGGTGCTTTATGTCATTAGTCCTGGCAAAAATATGAGATATTGCTACCTTCCCCCTTATGAATAAGCATATTCAATTTTGTAAGGTCACACAGATGGAATGTGATAGAGTGAACCAGGTCTATCTCCCTCATCCTTTTTCCTTTCACATTGAAAGAAAACAATAGCATATAAGGGAGAATTCTGCTAATTTTGAAACCTTCAGTGTCCTCAATGAGGCAGTGGAAATGATTCATTGTAATGTGTTTTACATAAAGAGTTAGTGCTTCAGAAATTAATCACAGTTATATTTGATAATCTTAAACAAATTGCATTGAGATTTATTGAGGTGATCGGTTATATTACTACTTAACTCAAAATGCCTTTACCTAACCAATTCTTTTATGGGTATTTCTGATACTATGTGTGGTAAATGTCAATCTCCTTAGTGACAGCCTTCTGAAATTTTACCATGTTTTGCAGTTGTAGGTCTTTTTTAATTTTTTTATTTTTTTAAGTTATAGGTCTTTTTATCTAAACATATTTTCAAGGAAAAGTTTGAGAAAGGAATGATTTTATGTCAATTTGAAGTTGAACTGTTTATTCTCCAAATGTGGGCAACTAAACAGTTGCCTGGACCTCCATGCACTATATTTTCACTTAAAGAGGAAACAATAAAATGGAAGAAAATCATATTAAATTATATTAAAATATAAGTATAAAACCACAATTTCAGACATACAAATTATTTTGATGCTACCCCTACAAATATTCCCTCCCATCAGTGCAAACAACAAAGAACATAACTTTTTTTTTTTCAATACAACTATGTCATTTGGGGAAAAAATATGAGAATTACATATTTAAAATTAATTAATTCTAGAGGAGTTTCCTTCTGGAAACAATCCAGACTTTGAGAATAAAACCTTTTTCTTATTTTTTTTGTAAAAAAAATTAAATGGTTTATGCTCAAAAATGCATGTGTTTCTTATTCAGCATTCTATATGGGAAGATAGACTTCTGCTTATTAATATCATACCTATATATTTTCAAAGGAATTAATTCCTATTTCAAGATCAAAACTAGTATTTAAGGTTTACAGTTTTGGACCCAGTGGTCCACTGCCAGCATAGTACAACAGGAAAGCTATGCTCATATTCTCTTGCCTTCCCTCCTTCAGATATGGTCCTTGACCAACAGGTGAGCTCAGGTCAGCTGAATGAAGATGTACGTCACAGGGTCCACGAGGCACTGATGAAACAGCACCACCACCAAAATCAGAAAAAACTTACCAACAGAATTCCCATTGTTCGATCCTTTGCTGATATTGGCAAGAAACAATCAGAACCAAATTCCATGGATAAAAATGGTAAATGTTTCCTTATTGTGCTCTTTATATCTACTATAGGTCTCTAAACTATCAGTGCTTCTATATCTTTAAAACATATTTCACTTGAAAATGTTTTATTACAATTCATATTGTTATAGTGGAATTATTTCTTTTCATAGGCATATACTGTATATGCAGTCTTATTATCAAGTATCAAATTGTAGAAATTTTAACAAGGAATTTAAGTTTCTTGAAAGGTTCATGAAAGAATGCAAAGAAAATATATCTAATAAGAACTTACACATATGAATGCAGCAAACATAAATGGAGCATCTCTGGCATCTTAAACAAGTAATGCAATGCTTCAACTTAATGCCAAAGGTGGTCTTTAGTTAAAATGAATAATGCTTACCATTTAGTGTTTGTGGAAAAAGATGCTGGCCTCATGTTGCTCACAGTCACTGAATTCCATTAGAGTTAGCAATTGAAAGCCCACCAGCACGCTGCATGTGATTCTACCTATGTTAGGCCTCATTTCTACTCATGGGCTCATTGTTGTGTGCTGTGTGGCATCTTCAGTGGAGCCTCCTCATGGATCATCTTCACATACTATTATTTTACAGAAATCATTGACTTACTTTGACTTCCACTTCAGACTGTTTTATCTCCTGTATTCTTTGTTCTCCCCTTCCATCCATTTAATCTTACATAGACCACACTAAGAAAGCCACTTAGAAATTTCGGTATCATTTATTTTCCATTAGTCTCATTAGGGTAAATGGAGTTACCATGAGATAAAAATGACTTTGTTAATCTTCCATCAGCTATAAAAGTACTAAAGCACATGTGTTGACAGCATGGACTAAATCTTGTGTGATTTCATTCCTTTTCAAAATCTTTAGTGATGTCTTAAACACAAATGTATGAAATTGAGTTTTCTCTAGACTTTGCTCTGTATGGAAATTTTCACCAGTTTTCATACTACTGAATCAAATATACACAAACAAATACAGAAGAAATGGTCTAAGGTATCACTCAATTTTGTTTCAGAATATAGGTCTAGTTTCCAATAGCAAGAAACTTATTTTTAGAAGTCCCAATGACTGAAGATGTCATTGTTATTGTATAGAAGGATCTATAGTTGTGCATACATAAAATTTGCAAAAATTGTAATGAGCACTTTATGGTTTATAGCAACTTAAGATTACAAATTCCACTGAATATTGTGAAGATAGATAACATTCTTTGATTCAAATCTTTTATGCCATATATTTATATTCTAAATCACAATTTCATTTAAGCTATATGATACATATTAATGAGAAAATGAAGTTATGATTGGAGAGATAAAAATGTAGTAATTTTATTATTCTTATAATGCTAGTATTTTTAATTTGGTTTGGTAATGTCAAGAAAACTAATTCAAGTATGAGCTTATGTTTACAGGATTTCACAAACCTTATGAAAATATACCCAGGAACTAATTATCCAAGAACTTATATACATTTTGAAAAATTAAACTATTGCCTTCATTTTGTCAATTTTACTGAAAACCAGGCAGTAAAATATATATATCTATAAGAAAAGTTTGTGTTTCTTCAAAGAGGCAATGATCTTAGACTGTGAACTAGCTATAATTTAACCTCAAACTTCATTTGCAATAATGTTTACTATACAAAAATTTCATTGAATTTTGTTTTTGTTTTCTGAGGGAAGAGAGCATGGAATTTACTGGATCAACTGACCATTATAATATCATGCAGACCTAGATTACTGTTTTTGCTTTAAACTTCTGTCAAACGTAAAAAAAAAAGGATGTGAGAATTATAGCTGTAGAATTACAGCCATGAGTCACAAGTTTCTCTATAGATAGATATAGATATAGATAACAAGGTTTTCTGAGAGCTTACTTTTTGTCTTATTCAGGAAATGGCTTAGTGTTCCCAAAAAGTAGTATCTGAGTGATTCTGTTGCCATCTGTAAAATCAGCCTTTATCTGAACACACACGCATCTTTTCAGGGCATACGTTAGGGTAATAAAAACTTGGAAACACTTGTAATAAGATTCATATATCCAATTAAGTATTGTTGTAGAGTATGCTGTCAGAAGTAGTTTTCTAAGCCTAGGCTTATAACACCTCCTTATGACTCTGTTTTGCTTTCTCACACACTTTACATAATTATGTGTGCTGAGAATTCTGAAAATATGTATAGACTTTACCAATTTAGAAATAAATCTTCTACTCAGAAGTGAAAAAAAGTGTGAAAGACCTTTACTACTAAGGTTCTCAATCTACTTATGAACTCTAAAAACTGACAAAGTCTAGATAAACAAACAAATTTAAATTCATAGCCATATATATAGACTTGACATTAGGTTTCAAAACATCCAATAGAGGTTCAAATTTTTTGGTGTAGTAGTACAGGGAGATGCAAAAGGATTTTAAAATATCAAAAAGAATAAAAATAATATTTTCTTATCTAAAAATCTCTTCAGTAATATATTTCACCCAAAAAGGTTCACTTTTTTCTTTTATGATTATAGAATAAGAATTAAGCAGGGAGCATTTTCCAGAAACTTGATGGCAGAACATGTTTTCCTTTCAAAACATAAATATGGAAATAAATTCTCTCTTCTTATTTAATGTGCTTTTGCTTTAGGGGCAAAGAAATTGAAATGCCCTAAAAAATGGACTGATGATTATGTAAAGATGTTTAAAAGAGTTACTTAGAATGAGTTTTCTACTCCCTTAATTGAATCGTTCCTTGAGCATGCTACTTTGGGAGTTATTGTAGTCAATGTTTTCACTGCTGTGACCAAAAGACCTAAAAGAACAATTTTAGAGGAGCCAGTTTATTTGGCACTCATATTTTCAAAGGTCTCTGTCCAGAGATGGCCAACACCATTGCTCTGGGCTCAAGGTGAGGCAGAACAATAGAAGTGTGTGGTGGAAGAAAACAGCTCAGGACATGGCCACCAGGAATCAGAAAGATCTCTGCTTATCAGGGACAAAAAATATATACTCCAAAGGCATGCCCATTAGTGACTTACCTCCTTCAGTCACACCCTACAGTTGCCATCCAGTTAACACATTCAAGAGGATTAATGCACTGGTTGGGTTGAATATCCCATAAAAATTTCATCATTTCACTTCTAAATTTTGCCACATTGTCTCACACATGAGCTTTTGGGGATACCACATATCCAAACTATAACAGTATTACTCCAAAGGTTAAATATCCAGGTGCTATTGTGAATGTGTGTCTTTCTAGTTTTAAAGGTTAGATTAACAAGATAGTGTAGTTCCTTGCTCTTTTCCTTCCCATGTCTACACTTTTGTTCATACTTTTTTAGTAACTTGTGATAATTTGTCAATCTCCACCTCCCAATACACTGTACTTTTTTGTATAATTTTTTTCTTGGTATTCTGCATATTCTCATGGGCTAAGATGCAGGATGCTATGGATTCACCATGCATTTTTAATGCCACCATGCTGTGTTTAACTTTCACTTTTCATTAAGCATCAAAACTGTGAGAATTAAATGTCTGATTCTGATGTTTCAATAAAAAGTGACAGTTACATTTGGCAAAACAACAGCAAAAATAATAGAAAAATAATATCTACTTTGACATTAGAACCCTGAAAATGGTATGGATGGAAAGTACTAAAAATAAATATATCAAGAATATTCAGATACTTTCTTGAAACTAGAAGATGTTTTAAAAACAAGACTAAAATAATCAAAATAGCAAAATAAATTAGTATTTGCATTTATTACTTAGGTCATACATTCACTTACTGAGAAATTTGAATTGCAAGTCAATTTCAAAATGTTATTATCCTTGTGATAACTTTTGTAGTTTTGAAAACAATCTGAGACTCTTAGTTTCCTTAGATGTAGGGTATCTTCAATCCACTCTGTCCTTTACTAATAATTTCTAATTCTGTCCCTCTCTTTTATGTGTTTCATATTTAGAATCTCAAAAACAAACTGCAAAGCAGAAAGTCTCTAGTATTTGTTCAAATACATAATTACTGAAGAACATTTAGGTGTGGAAGGTTGGGATATGTGTTGATTCTTTAGACCTAGGTAGATTCCAGCCCTTGAAGCACTGTATACATATGTACTATGAATTATTATTATTTGTGGTTTTGGAAATCCCATTTATTGCCTTATAATCACTTATTTTACAAATGCTGTACTTTTTATTTACAAATGCATGATGCCTTTATGTGTCTTGATATTTACATGTTTTGTTGTTTTTTAAATGTTGTGGTCTCATAAATAAGATATCTATGGTGTAATATTTATCTCTCATAATGTTCTATCTAGGAAGAAAAAGGTAAAGATAGAATATTTCTTATTAGAATTTCTTGACAGAAAGCATATTAAAAGATTCATGTAGGTGAAAGAAAACCAGGATGGTATTGTTGACAAAATTGATGGGTCTGTTCAGGGATTATATTATATTGTATACAACAATATTATATTGTTGTAGTTGAGTTTTGAACTCAAGACTAAATCTTAACAGCAAGCTTAGTTCTATGATGATGTGCTTAAATTTGTTATTTCTTATATTACATTAATTATTTTCAGGCATACTAATTTTTCTCCAAGTTTAATTATATGCATACTCTCATGTTTATTAAATATATCTCACCTAGTCAACATTTTCTAAATATTTAAACCTTCTTTCTTCATGTTTTCTAATCCCATGAATAAATGTATTGTTACACATGTACGTAACTTTGTCATTCATCTTTATATTTCTTTATTTTGCTCTGTCTTGTGTCTGTCTCTAACAGGCTCATCTCATCTCTGTACCTCCCTCATCTCCTACCCTTTGGGTATCTAAATGCGTTGACGTTTTCTGAGGTAGTGTAACCAGCTTGGTCTCTAGGTTAATAGTAATGTATTTCCATGTCTTCATCCCAGTTTCCTTCTAGTACACATGATTTACAGTAGAATAAGCAATACTAAACAATGATACACTTAAGCAGTATTGATTTGAATTTGGCCAAATAAAAATTTAAAAGCTGCTATTTTACAATACTTCTGTGCACAATTTACTTAAAGAGGGAGAGAACTATATGTAAAGACTTGAATGAATCAGTGTAGTACTCAAGATATTTTTTGAGAACATATTTACCATTGTGTTTAATGATGAGGTATTTTAATGATACTGTCATGACTTGAAATCATGAAATAGTACTTCTGATGTAATCTATTGTTCCCATCCTACAATATTATAATGAAGGAAATGGCTATGCCAGTATTACAAAACATTTAATGAAAAATTTATGGTGTGACAAGCAGAGAAGCAGAGCTTCCATTTTTCAGGCAGTGGTCACTTGAATTGCTGTCAGTTTTTATCCTGTGCTTGGCCCTAGAAAAATACATTAACTATAATATTTTTATATGATTCCTACATGTAAGTCCAGAGGGAAAAATCATTTTATCATTCAAAGAAAATTAATTCAAACAAGTGTTCATATGAATATTGCATATACTTAGATGAGATGTAAAACAAATATTAGAATTGGGATTAGTGAAGAATTCTTCAAGTGTAACAGAAAATATAGATGTATGACAGAGGATGATGTGTTAGGCTTATCAGTGTTTACATTTAAATAGTTAGACTCTGGTTACTGTTAATGCTTTTTTTACTTTCCATCACTTTTTGAATACTTTGAATGTAATAGGTTACCAAGTTAATAAATATCTATTTTTACAATCATTTTTATGTCTTAAAATTATTTAGATATTATAATAACAAAGGTTGTTAATCATTGCAATGACATTCACTCATAGGTGATATAAATATGGAAAGTTATCAGTGGACAAACTGAAGGTAACAATAAAGAAACAAGTTAAAACATTTCTGTTTGCAAGCATTGTAATATAATGATTAGGAAAGTTATAATAAATAAGTAGCATTCATAAAGCTTCCATAAATATGTGAGTGCTAAACTCAAACTAAATACTATCGTTTTTTCCTGATACAGAAAATATCCTAGCAAATTATTTGTTATTCTATTTAGAACACATTCTCTTCTGGTTGAAGGATAAATTCTGCACTTAAAAATTGCCATTTTGTAAACTATGGCCTTCAACATCAGCAAGTCAGCAAGAAAGATAGTGATTCTCTTTCAAAATCTCGATGTATAGATTACCTTTTTTGTTTAGTTTTTTGGTACTGGGGATTGAACTCAGGGGCATTCAACCACTGAGCCACATCCCCAGCCCTATTTTGTATTTTATTTAGAGACAGGGTCTCACTGAATTGCTTCGTGCCTCACCATTGCTGAGTCTGGCTTTTAACTCATGATATTCCTGCCTCAGCCTCCCGAGTTGCTGGGATTACAGGTGTGCGCCACTACGCCTAGCTGGATTACTTTTATATAATAGTTTTTTAGTTCAAGAAATCTACTTTGATATTCAAGCCCATCAATTTCTTTTGAAAATTTGTAATGATTTGAATAAACTGAAGAAATATTCAGACAGATTATGATTCACAACAGAATTATAAAAATTTCTTCAACATATGAGAGTTCTAGTAATTCAATGGACTATAAATCATGTTTGGATTTTAGTTTTATAAATATATCAAATAAAAATTTGAGCTACTTTTAAAGGCTTCTATTTTTTTTTTTTACAAATAACCCAAACCAAACTTATTAATTTTTAAATTATAGTACTTGAACATTTTTCTATTTTCTGCCAGCTTGTCATAACTGTTCTGAAGATATACACATTTAATGTGTTCTTTTGTCTTAAATAATTAATTAATGCAAGTTTTAAGAAATAATATACTAAGATTTCAAATGCTTCTTAAAATTTTCAGGACCTTTGTCATGATAAGTACATTTTACCATATCTCCAAAATATAAAAGATAAAAAATTTGTGGTTTATATTACTGTCTCATAGGCTGATAGTTTTTATGCCTTCCCCCCTGTATTAGCATATATTCTGTGCACACATCTAGAATCTAGAAATAGCAAGGAATTTATTATCATCTAGTATGATTCCTGCTAAATATTCTCAACTAGATCATTATCAATCCCACTTAAAATATTCAAAGAAAATAGATCCTAAATCACTTTCTTAATATCAACTTTATAAGGTAATGTTTTGTAAAATTTTTTAATCATCTTGGAACAAGAATAGACTAGAACAATAAATTACAAAATATCTTAAAATTATTAACATTTATGACTAAAATTCTTTGCGAGTATAAATATAGATGCTAATGTTTTAAACATATTGCATGAACTAAAATAATTTGTGAAATGTTCTGAAAATATACAAAAGAAAACAAAAGATATTCAATTTTCTTTAAATTTTAAGTTTCAACATACTTTCCATTTGATTCAATCTCTTCAAAGTTGATGATTTTGCATGGGGTTACTTTCTTTTTGTACGTGTATACTTAGAGAATTAAATAATTGTTCTTCAATGTAGTTTTATACCACATGAAATTAATTATTGTAAGAAAGCAGATACATGTTTATTTAATTTTCCCATGACTTGTGTTTCACCACTCAATTTTATAGAACATTCAATAAATTTAGTTTGAAATATATCTAATGTTATAACTCATGAAAATATGGAGAAATGATGTGAAACTGGTGATTGAAGACATCCGTTAGTAGCACAAATGCATTATGTAAAAGGTTTTTTAAAAAATTACAGTTATTATTTTGAGAATGGTAAATTGAATGGCTGCTAATGAACAGTTCACAGTGAGAGCTGCATATTGCAGTTAGAAATGGGAGAATGGAAATATTTTATGTACTTTGTCTGAAATTTCTCTGAACTTTATAAATTTTCCTGAAATATGCTATAATCAGAACTTGCATACATGGATTGAGGTGAATTTGCTTTTAAAAGTTGCTTATTTTATTTTCGCCAAATATTGTATTTTATTTTGTTTAGTGAAAGCAGAGAAGCATTTAAGCTCTAAAAGTGTCTTAAGCCCTATTGCTTTCTGACATTATAACAATGTTAAATCATAAAATTGTTCCTATTAGTAACTGACTCCTACCTGAGAGGCTTAATATTCCAAAAATGATAGTGTTTTTAATCACACTAGGTGATTTCTAGGTAACAAAGAATAAGTTAGGTTTTAGGAGAGAATTTAAAAGGGAAGTTTTTTTTTTCTTTTGTAAGTACTATTGGAATTATAGAAGTTCAAATAAAGACCATAATAATTGGAGAAGAGGGGAATGAAAAGAGGAGTTTGGAATAAAATTGAGATTTAAGTAGGTAGAAAGAAGAGCTAGGTAGAGAGAGTATTTCTGAAGTCTCAGACTGATGAAAGTGAGCGCAATATTTTGGAGTCACTGAGTTAAGGTCATAAATGTGGTCAAATCTTCAAAGTTGGGTTGTCATCACTCATTTCACAGAGTCTAGATGGGAAGAAGTTGAGGAAGAAGAGACATAAGTGAGAAGTTAAATAAACCTTTGTTGCCGCAGTCTGGCTGGGCACAAATGCCGCAGTCTGGCTGGGCACACAATCACGAGCCACCACACAGCTTGTAGATTCAAACAGCAACTCTTTATTCCCGAACTCACACCAGCCGTCTACAATCACGTTCTGGGGAAATCCACGTTCTCTTCCCAAATCCACGTTCTCTGCCCAAATCCACCTCCACTGGGCTTCTATCTCCAAAATATACTGTCTGAATCCCGTGAGAACTCAAGGGGAACTCAGGCAGCAGGATACGCCCTATTCCCAGCAGGAATAATCTTAAACCTTAAACCTGGAACCTAAACTGGGAACGCCCTAAACAAGATTATCTTAAAACCGGGAACACCCTAATCTGCCTTGGTCCTTGAGCAAGGTTAAGTACATTCAATGTCACTGCAACATGGGGTACGCTGGCAAGGAAATTGTCATACTTACTTGGCTAATGGCTCCCAGCACTTTGTCATTTAATTGTGAACTATGGATAGATTTTAAATGACTTATAACTGCAAAGAATATTTGGTAGTTAGTGAATGATGGGATTTAACCTTTTCCATCCATTGTCACATCCCCAGCTCTGATCTGTACTTAACTAATGTAATCTTCACTATAATAGGGAAAAGAACTACAAAAGAATTAAGTTTTGGTGAGTGTTAAAAGAAGATTAATACAACTCACGTTTATTGATCATTCTTATATAGAAGCCCAATATCAGTATGCTTATGTAATCGAATAGTCACATTCATTAAAATTATATTTATTATTTTTATACTGTATAAAATAAAGATATTTCTAACTGAAACCCTAATATAGAAACCTCTAAAACTTATTGCTGAAAAACTTACTGGTTTGGCTTTTTAGATGTGATTAGATCTAAAAGTGCTAGGTAATTTTTAAATCAACATTCATCTTTTTTTTAATGTTTGAAATTCTGTAGTCTAGGCTTAAATCTTAATAGATAGCTGTCTTTTAAAAATATACCATTTTTTGGATTGATATTTGAAAATCAATGCTGTTTCACAATCATGGTTAGATTTAGGTGGTTTTGTAAGCACATTTTTTTTCAGAGAGAATAATCTCTAGAGTTTTAAGTTGAGAATTGGTTTAAATTTTATTGACTGATTTCTCCCATTTCTATCTGTAACTGTTAAGAATTTGGTATTGATCCAGATCTACTTATATTGATCCTTCATGTTTATATCACAAAACTTATTAAAAGAAATCTGTTAGTCTAGTTTAATTGAAGTTGATGTTTCACTCTGTATATCCAGAATTATGTAAATAATTTTCTGTATTTTGTAATAACAATTTCTTTCAGCAGGTCAGGTTGTTTCTCCTCAGTCTGCTCCTGCTTGTGTTGAAAATAAAAATGATGTTAGCAGAGAAAACAGCGCTGTTGACTTTAGCAAGGTAAACTTTTCTCTTTCTCTCTCTCATCTAAGAAGTTTGCTCAATTACCGTTAGAAATTACTACCTATTTTAGGAGGTATTGACATAATTTTTTTGCATGCACTTTTTGGTTTTCTTTCAGTCAAAGTTTGGAATTGTTATAGATAATGTTAGCATTAAGTGCACATATATTGTTTTGCTTACTCAAGAAACTGAACATGTGAGTTTTATGCACAATTTTCAGTATTCAGCCACTTGGTATAATGTATTTCTTTCAATAAAAGAAATAATTGGACTTCACAAGGATTTTAACATAAGTTTAATTTGATGTTTAAAAAATTTTACTAGTATTTTTTTCAAACTCACTTTTATGATATTTATGGAAAAACAAATCATATACTATAAAGCTTTACTGTCATAATTCAGAGTCATTAGTGTACGGAAATCCTAGAAGGACATGGTGAAATTGAGCTGTTTTGAATAAAAGCACACTAAAGATGACTGTGTTGATGGATACATCTAATTGGAGACAATTTAAAAGAAATCCTTTATTTGAATATATTCTAATAAAATAAGGAGTCAGTGAAAATAATGTGATTTAGGTTGGCAAATTCCTGACACTGATATGTGCCATTGTAAGTTATCAAAACTAACATTCAAAAAGAGAAATTGTAATACATGGAAAATAAAAAGAGCAAACAATGCTCTTTATCTAAGTGGCTGAAACAGTAATAACTGAGTTAATACTTTGATAAAGTCCTTAGTGCTGGCAAAGGTTGTAATAGTGAATGAGTGGTCTGAGATGGGAATGGGAGGCTCTTTGCAGTGGAGGAAGTTGACTGAATCAGTTCTGTTTCAGCATTGCTGTGATAATGCCTAAGTGATCTAAGTCTAGTTAAGTGCATGTTCTCCTCTGATGCCTGGTAGAGTCTCATGGGAGCCTGGTATACCAGCTTAAGTCTGTTAATTATGCGTGCAGGGACTGGGAGGCCAGCAAAAGGGGCACACTAGTCCATGTGGGATGAAACAAAGGCATGAAAAAGGACCTCCACACCAGCAAGAGAGAGAGGTGAGGGCTTCCTCGGGCTACTTTTCTACAGTGGTTCAGAGCTCATTTCACTGTATGGAGGCATGTGATTCAAATATTCAGCCAGTTCAAATGTATTCCATTTGTCACTCTAAAAATTATCTTTTAAGGCATTACATCTTCATTCATCTGAAAGTTGGAATAAAATTGTCACAAACTGCTATAACTTAATTTGTGATATTCTTAATTTGAAATAATATCTTAAAAGTCATGACATATAAAATTGATTATTCATTTATGCAAACATTAACAGTATAACAAGGGCATATTTAACATTCTCAAAAATAATTATTATAAACTCTATAGCTCATCCTTTCAAATTAACTACCTTTTAACTTTCTAAAATAATGTAACACTTATATACTGAATTTTTATATATCTCCATGTCATTTTGGTTTTTGTTATGTGACCTATTTTTACAACCTTCAAAAATGTATCATCACCTATAAAGAATATGAAGATTGACAATTGAAGACAGTAGTCTTATTTTCTGTTCTCCTCAAACAGTTGGGACTAGAAAAAAATAAAAAATAAATGTTTTCCTTTAATCCTCTTCTTCATCATCACATTTCCATTCACTGGTCCATTTAATAGGGAAATTAAATTTTTCAGAGCCCTCTACTTAGTGCCTGTCATTTGTGTTTCTCAGGTTCTTGTCCTTAGAATAGTACATTGGAAAGAACATGGATTGAGATCTTGAATCCTGACTCTAGCATTTATAAATTATCTGATCATTGAGAAATTCTCTGAACTCCAGTCTTCTCATTTATAAAATAATAATAATAATAATAATAATAATAATAGTAATACATATCTGTGGTTTTGTTACAAGATTCAATGAGAGAGACAGTGAACCTGGCAGGGAACTGGGCATATAGTAGATGCTCAAGAAAAGTGGCTTCTATTATTATTGCTATATTAATATTAGTAGAAATGGAAGTAACCAAATAAATAACAAACCAGGTTTTAATGTTTTGGTAGATATGCACTCTTTAAGTCTTAAATAAGGCTGGGATGTATTTGTTAAATGAATTTCACCTACAAGATTCAAAATAATCTAAACCTTTAGTTTTGGGATTAAAAACAACAAGAGGGTTGGGGTTATAGCTCAGTTGGTAGAGTGCTTGCCTTGCATGCACAAGGCCCTGGGTTCAATCCTCAGCACCACACACACACAAAAAAAAAAAAAAAAAAAGAAAGAGGGAAAAAAATAAGAAAAACAAATAACATCCCTAATTCTATAACCTGGGAGGGTTTGGAGAGAACAGAAGTTATCCATCACTATAGAAACAACTTTTAGTGCCAGATTTTACAGGTAGATGAGTTAAGATTTTTCTTTTAGCCTAATGATATCAGTTTTATAGTAAATTAATCAAAGCTCAGCTAATATCCAGGTTATTATATCTATTTAAATATCTTAAGTCTTAATATGTAGATTCTAAACCCTAGTAAAATTCTGAGATGTTAAAAAAAAAAATGGTCGTTTACTTATTTGCTTCATGTGACCTGACTTTATATTCTATCTACCTTCAATCTGCACATTTTTAATTCATCCACGGATAGGACCATCAAATTTATTCATTGAAGAAGTAATTTAGAATATAATCTGAATTGCCAGATTTTAGCTTTTTCTACAGTGCTTTTAAAAGAAGATTTGTCAAAACACTATGTACCTCAGGCTGGGGTTGTGGCTCAATGGTGGAGTGCTTGCCTAGCACAGGTGAGGCACTTGGTTTTATCATCAGCACCACATAAAAATGAATGAATAAAATAAAGGTATAGTGTCCGTCAACAACTAAAAAAATTTTTAAAACCCCACTATATACCTCTTTCTTTTATAAACTGACAATAGAATATATGTCAGTAGTGTTTCTTTTATTTCAAATAAACCAAAGAAGGCTTTATATAATTTAGTTTGGGGATTAAAAAAACATCTTTTGCATCTATCTTTAGTTTGTAACACACATTACAAAGAGTTGGATTATTAAATCCTAGAACTATAGGGAATTTGAGACTGACAACGAAGCTGAATCCCAGAGAGATTAAGAGAAGGACTCGAGATTGTTGGCTAGTTAGTGTCAAAATAGTGATTCCTCATCAGATTCTCTATTGACTTTCTTGTGCTTTCTATAAGGGCTCAAGATGTAAAGCTTTCTTTCCAAATTTCTGCCTAGTTTCCCTTCTTCTGTCAGTGTGGAGCTTGCCTAGATTCTTCTGGTTCTGCCATGGCCTTGTCCAATCTTCTTCCCTACGAACTGTTTTTCATCCATGGCTTACATACCAAATGCCCAGAATAAAGGATCTGTCCCTCAGCATGAGAGTGAAGTCTAAAGAGCCCAGAAACATGAGTGTAAATCCAGAAAATAAATCCGAGAAAATACAGCTTCATTCCTGGAAGATTCCATTGGGAGGATCAAAAACTTTCAGAATTTCTTTCTATCCATTTCAAATATTGGAATCCACTTGAAAATTAATTGTCTTAAGAATTTCAGTCAACCTAGATCCCCAGAGCTGTTTTTAGGTAGCTATAATTTATGGTTCTTCAGATGTGATTTTTTTGTTTATATTAATAAGTAGGGATATTGCCAAATAAGATATTTTTATGAATCATACATAACACAAATACAAAAATATAGGGCTAGGCCAGGAATAACATAATAATATAACTATTATAACATATAATTTCTTATCCCTGAAATACATGTCTACTCCAAGAATAATATAATGTAATGAATATAATATAGTACACCTAACTATAATTTATTGCATTTCAAAATGAAAGATAAACCTGCTAATCTGCAATTAAATTCTGTGTATTTAATGCCTTTTCTAAATAACTGTATCAATGATATAGTAGGTATTACAAAATTTTTTTAAATCATGTATAAGCACCATAAGTTTTTGAAAATTAAACTATTTTAGCATACTATAAACTCTTTGATTTAATTAAGTTTAATCTGTAATAGCTAATTGCCTGAAGCACAGATTTTTATAGGAAAGACTATGGCATTTATTAAATAATAAATGAGTTTAAAGACATTTTTTCTAGGTGGAATTTAAATTTCAGGAATTCTTAATATGCCTCATATTGATTACAATTATAGATTTTCTTAAAAAGTTATTTTCTCATTTTAAATTTTGTCCTAGTGTATTAATATTTATCACTGAAACTTCATTTTTACAAGCTCTGAAAGACTGAGGACAACGTATTATGTTTTTCCTCATAGGACTAATATGGCAAATCTCCTATTCCCATATTCTTAAGATTTTAAGAGTATAGTAAAAATGTAAAACATTATTAATTTGTAGAAGTTTCAATGTACCTATCAGCTAGAAATATTAAGTATGAAAATCCCATAAAATTAACTTTCTTATTAACTAAATTCCTTTGTCATCTATAAATTAGATTTTATAATAGAAGGTTAAATTCTATAAAAGAAATATATTTACCATGCAATATTCTATATTGTATGATTTACGATAAGTTTATGTAAATAAGCTTATAAATTTATATTTGGAAATATATTTGTGGGGTAAAAACTTTGGAATTTATGATATTTGTCAAATATTTCTTTTATAAGCAATTTTACTTTGTTAAATCATTCTCCCTTTTCTTAAATAAGATATTGGTTCTATTTGACATTTTTATAAACTAGTACAGATTAATTTTACACTTAATCCTTATATGAAATTAATACTGTACATACTGGATATTTTGTTTTTGAAATCCTTGTCTTACAGAAAGATAATTCATTCTCAACCTACCAAATAGCTTTACTGAAGTCTTAATTTAAGAAAGCAACAGATTTAATATGGTCACTAAAATGTGGCTGTGAATTTTTTTAAAGTACTCCTAGAAGTTTTAAATATTTTTACCTTCAACTTCTTGGAAAAAGTCCTCAAATTATTAACCAGCACAACAACTGTCTGGCCTAAAAATATCTTTTCAGCCTCACTCTGTTTGCCAGAGCTCTTTCCTCTCTCTCTTGGTTATTCTCACTTTGATCTTTGGCCCTCATTTCATTAACAGGAGAGTATAAAACCAATTACTAGAGAAGATAAACTATTCCCCTAAAAAATCATAGTTCCATAAAAAGCAACTCAAGTGAATAAAAAAAGAAATAGGCCTTGTAATTTTACTATAAAGTCCCTGCTTGGTTTTCACCAAAATCTTTTGTATTAAAAATTGATATTTATTCTTAAAGATTTTTACATTCATTTTTCAGACACCACTCTACTTTTAGCATTTCTTCCTGTTAATGATCACTTTTTTTATGTTCATTCAGTCATAGACATCTCATATTTGAAATTCAGCTATAGATGTTTAGCAATGCCTAATGTTGATACTTTTTTTTTCTTGTTTTCTCTATTCTGTTATGTCTAAATTCCTTAATAAAAAATTAAATTGAAGAAGTAGCATGCCAAGTATAAAACATGAATAATATAGAACAATTAGAATAAAGATGAAGACTAAAGTCATAATTTATACTGTAAGAAGAAGCATGATTATATTTCTTTTGAAATAGCCATATGTTGAGCATTAATTAATAAAAACGTATTATGTAAAATTAAGACAATCTGGCACAAAATATTGAGTCTGTTGACAAATGCTAGTTGATATATGGTTACAATAAATTTAAGTACATATACTACTCCTCCCCAAATTTAAAGATTGCTGATGTTAAGAAATCTTTTAAAAATATTGAATAGAAAAATGAAATATTTAGCTCATTGATGACAAAGTCATCTACAAGTAAAGAAAAGCGTCATGCATGGTGTGGTGGTGCACACCTGTAATTCTAGCTACTTAGGAGGCCAAGGAATGAGGATGGCAAGTTTGAGCCCAGCCTCAGCAATGTAGGGAGATCCTGTCTCAAAATAAATCAAAAGGGCTGGGAAGGTGGGTCAGTGGCAGAGCACCTGTGGGTCTTTTTCCCCTAGTACTGAAAAAAAAAAAGAAAGAAAATAAAGAAATTTATTATAGAAAAAGGGCAAATGAGATATACATCTGTATTATTTGAATTGTATTTATTGATAATATATATGAAGCAGTGTTCTAAATTATTACTCACCATGTTGTTCCAATTTTGATTTACCTTATTTACTTTGTGATGATCACAGGTTGATCTGCATTTTATGAAAAAGATTCCTCCAGGTGCTGAAGCTTCAAACATCTTAGTTGGAGAACTGGAGTTCTTAGATAGAACTGTGGTTGCATTTGTCAGGTTGTCTCCAGCTGTCTTGCTTCAAGGACTGGCTGAAGTCCCAATTCCAACCAGGTATAAAACATCAGAGCATCTTTTACATTTTTCTTGAAGCATTTGTGTGTGTGTGTGTGTGTGTGTGTGTGAGAGAGAGAGAGAGAGAGAGAGAGAGAGAGAATTAAATATAATTTCCTCTTAGAATTTTGATAAGAAACCAATGTGTCACCGACAAAACTGTTTCCTGTTTGTAAGAGAGAAAAATGCTTTAAAAATTATTCTGTCCTTTCCTCCTCTTCCTCCTCCTCCAACTTCTATGTTTTATTTTACACATGTTCCTTGTCCCTGGGTACCCTGTCTATGTAATAATAATAATACAAACCTATTTTACATTTTTTGGGGGGAATGACTAAGTGTTAGACTTTTCTCAAAGGTTACATTAAATGGTGTGCTCAAGAAAGAGAAGATTCTGTATAGGAGTGTGGTCAAGCTCAAAAAGATTAAAATTTCCAAGATTTGGTTTGTGTTTGAGTAGGCCTTAAAAATAAATATAAGTGCCATCATTAGGAGCGCTTCTGCCATATTAAAGGTACTGTATATTTCAGTGCTAGGCACAGTGTACCTCTCATCCATGGTGTCTGAAGAATCACTAGAAACAGCATAGTGGAAATATAGTTCAATCTGAATCAAAAAGTACAAGTTCTATTTGACTACCTGAATTTTAAAAAAATATTATTATTAGTTTTAGTTGCAGTTGGACACAATACCTTTATTTATTTTTATTTTTATGTGGTGTTGAGGATCGAACCCAGTGCCTTGCATGTGCTAGGTGAGCACTCTGCTGCTGAGCCACACCCCCAGCCCCTGATTACCTGAATTTGTTTCTCATTTGACTATACATAAATATCTTAGTGATAATTCAAACTAAATTGTGTTATCATTTATCCCTATTTTATAGGCTGTCCCTGGATAAAATTGCATATATATAATAAAATATTGACCTTAACATGCTAGGTTCCTAGCACACAATTATCCAAGGACCTTCTTTTCTTTCCCGCTTGTCCCATCAAATGTTATTCCTAAGGATAGATTGTCTTTCACTCTGGTTTTATTCAGCAAAACATGATACCTAAGGTCCCATTTCCAATGTGACTGCTGCTCTTTGTGTGATACCATGACTCCTCAGATGCTATTAGTATTCCTCCTCTTGCAAACATGGAATGCCTAGTCAGGTTGAAATGATGAAAGTTGAAGTTCTGAGGCAACTAGATTTAGAAAATATGTTTCCTCCACAGACCTCTGCCCTTAACTCAAAACACAGCAGATTATATCACTTCATACTTTGAGTACAGATAAATATTTCAGAAATATGGAATAGTGCAGCCAGGAGAGGTCTCATTTTATAAGAGCTCAACTGACTAAATTGGGATTTAATGTTGGAGTTCCTAGTCTCATTCTGTGGTTTTAGGGAGAAATCTACTGTTTTTATCAGCTTTTTATCATGATTACAACCTTAATAACATAACTTAAAAGGGAAAAGACTTTATTTTGGTACATTGTTTCAGAGGTTTCAGTCCCTAGTCAGTTGACTCCAAGGCAGAAACATGGCAGGAGGGCAAGACAGAGGAAAGCCGCTCAGCTTGTGATAGGAGGTACAGAGGTGTGTGTGTGTGTGTGTGTGTAGGAACCCAGGACAAGATATAGTCTCCAAAATAGTACCCAAGGGCAAGCCCCCAAAGGCACACTCATTTCTATTAGATCCCACCTACTGTACTTTCCACTACCTCCCAATAGTCTATTTGAAGTATGCATTCCTTAATGGGTTAACCCACCAATGAGGTCAGAGGCTTCAAGATCCAATCACTTCCCAAAGACTCCACCTCTGAACACTGCTGCATTTGTGACTAAGCCTTCAACACATGAGCTTTTAGGGAATACTTCATATCCAGACTATAATACCTAGTTACCATTCAAGTTATAGAAAAAGTTTCTATTTATCATGGTTGATGGCTTTTTGATATTTCTGATACATACCAACTTTTATTAAAAAGGAGGAAGGTTGGCAAGTTCATTGGCAGAGTGCTTGTGTGGTATGTGTGAAGCCCTTAATTGAATCTCCAGTACTATACAAACAAACAAACAAACCAGGAAGGGTGAACTCACCATATTAAAGCAGCATCTGATTGGTTGATTAAGGCTGAAATTTCTGTGCACCACTTATAATCAAAGCAGAGTTTCTGAGAAACTGGGGCTCAGATTCGAGGGATCAAACTTACTAATTGTAGAGATAATATTCTGGCAGTTTAAAATTTCTTTTCAGTTGTCCCAGCAATTTCCACCATTTAGGAAGCTATCTGGTGAACTATGAGTAAATGATTGCTGCTTATGATAATGATAATTCCTGTATTTTAAAGAAAAAAATTCCCAGGAGTAGAGGAAAGCAATAATGAGATTATATACCCTCAGTTTGAAAACTGTCAGGTTTAGGTGACCTCATTTCATACTGACATAGCAAAATATGTGCAGTGAACAATGGAGAAAAAATTAGGGGCACTGTGGAGCCATCAAAGAAGGAGAGATTCAAAAGACTAGACTAGTTAGGAAAAGTGAAAAATGGAAGAAGATTAGTTAGACAAAGAGAATAAAGAAAGCCATTCAGGATTCCTAATTATCCTTTCTTAAGAGGTCAAAAGGGCACACCATGAATATAAGAGCAACACATAGTAGAATATGTCAAAAAATAAATATTTTAAGACCTTATAAATAGCTCATGGAAACCTGAAAAACAGCAAGATGCACATAGGTTAGGACATTTCTCAAAAGTATTATGGTTGATAAAGCTTCTGGCACCACATTCCAATATTAATGTTTTAAATATATAGTGGATTTTTCTATACAGTAGAAATTGACTTGAATTCAGTTACAATTGACATAAAAATTTTATAAGTTGGATCCTGTAAGGTTGTATAACATGATTTATGTAAAAACATGTACAATCTCTAAAGTCTGCAACTGAATGGAGGATAGAATTACAGTGACTATTTCAGTATACCTTACAAAGCCATTGGTCTTCATTTTTCATATAAACCATTTAACAAATTAACACCAAAGAATTATAATGCAAAATATAGGACATTCTTTAATTTTCACAATTTCCTTGTAGCATTGACCTTCTCATAGACAGGGCAATTACCAGTCCTCCAAAGTCAGAGCATGTATTGATTTCTTTAAAAGCACCAGTTATGATGATGAATTTGCCAGACCTTCAACCTTGTTTAGATGGAGTATTATAGTGCAGCTGCTATTTTTATTCTTCTAGCATTGGAATTAATAGAATATTAACTCTTTTTTCTTCTGCCTAAATGATCTTTGATTTTTAACAATATTTTTTATATTTTTATATATATCTACAGGGTATTAATATTATGTTCTGTCTTTCTTTATACCTTTGTATTATTTTCTAACCCCTTTGAACTGTTCTCCATTTTGTATACAAACAAGGTTTTTTTCCTTCTAATTTGGAAAGGTTTAATGAATTTTACTTTTTCTACCTTTGTCCTCTAAGGATTATAGAATCCTTAAAATTCCTAGGAATGACTGTGTAGGTCAGATAACTCAATGGGGAAATACTGAGATAAAAATGATCGTGTATTCTCATTGCTCAAGGACCTTATGCATAAGAGTCAATCACTGTAAATTGTTTCAAAATAATAATGAACTATGAAAAATTGTGGAACTACTTTACAATGATATTCTCATTTCACTGATTCCACTGGGAGGTGTGTTTCTGTTCTACCCTGAAGCATTTCTCTTTTTTTTCTTCTTAATTACAGATTTTTGTTCATTCTTCTGGGACCCCTGGGAAAGGGTCAACAGTACCATGAGATTGGCAGATCAATTGCAACACTCATGACAGATGAGGTATTTATTCAAGTTTGTTTCACTAGCTCCTCTTTCCATGACAGTTTGCTACAATTCAGATTTCTTTGTACTGAATTTCATTCTATCATGTATCCATTATCAAATTTCCTTGAGAAAAAATTGTTCAAAAGAGATTGTAGATTAACACCCAAGAATATAATATTTTAAAATACCATATTCTAAAGAGAGTTAGTTTAGTGACAGTTATATTGGTTTATATTCCCTTTATTATATTCCTGCCAACGTAAGCATCACTGTTTATCATTGCAGATTTTATTTTGGGAAAAAATAATTTTAAGGTCTAAATGAAAAGCAATGGTGTGTTATTTGAATAGTATACATAACACCAAAAAGCCCTGCAACATCTGTCATTTTTCTGCAGTTACTTTACATATATGAAGATGTTTTAAGAGACTTTTTGGACTTTTAGAGGCCCTATAGATAGATTTTCAAGGGGCTTGTTATCCCTGTCATAGAGTGCTCAATTTTTTTCTGTGTGGAAAAAAATTGTGTGTAAATTTCGTTTTTGGACTAGAAAAAGCTTTCATCAACTTCTCAAAGAGATGTATGTCTCAAAAAGTAAGATCTTAAAATAAGAACATAAAAACTTGTATGATATAACTTTTCTTTGACTTGTATTCCCCACACAGTATGGAAATTTGTTCTTATTGTTAAAGGAAAGAGCAGATGGGAAAGATCACAGAAGGGGCATTAATTCAGTACTAAATGAACAAATGGGATTATATATTATCTAGAATATCATCTAAATAATATAATAATGTGTTTATTGGAATACAGGGATGCAAATACTTGAAAATTTCATAAAAGGAGCCAATTAGTGTTGTATATTACTTTTCCTAACTTTATGAAATTGGAAAAATTGAACTTATGTTTGGGGTTTGACATTATAAGCTTTTCTATCTGTTAAAATTAAGTTTTATATGAATTAACGATGTATATTTATACATTGGCAACTAAAAGCTTGGAAAAACGTTTTAAAAATCAATTTTCTAAAAAAGCCAATTTAATGACTGTATTTGTTGCTTATGGCTCCTATAAAAAATTGCCATGAACTGGATGGCTTAAAACAAGTAATTTGTTTTCTCCTGGTTTTTTTTTTTTTTTTTTTTTTTTGAGGCCATAAGTATGAAGTTCACATGTCAGCAGAGCCACACTCCTTTATAAGTCTCTAGGGGAGGGTTCTTCTTTATCTCTTCCATTTCTGGTGACTCCTGCTATTCCTTGGCTTATGGCAGAACTTCCATATCTGTCTCTACATTCATGGGCTTTTCTCCATGTCTCTATGTCTTCCCATTTTCTGTTATCAATGACATCTGACATTGGATTTGGGGCCCAGCTAGGTCTAGGATGACTTCATCTTGAGATCTTTACCTTTAAATTAAAATTTCATCTTTATATTCTTACCTGTAAATTCTATCTTCAATAACCCTTATTTCTATTGGTAGAACTCTCTGAGAAAACTCATAGTATCTCAACTTTTAGTGTTTCCAAATTAATATTTTACAGTATTGTTAAATAAATTATATTGTGATTTGTGTTTTATAAATTAAGTATATTATCACTTTCATGAACATTTATTTCAAGTTTTATTATGTTTTGGACAGCATTTCTCTCCATCTAAGACATTTAGGTCACTACATAAGAGAGTTGTGAGGTATGCCACATTTTATAATATGAAAGGAGTGTAGTATATCCTGAAAGGCTCAGGTATAGTCTTTTTAGTTCTCATCTTCCTTTTCCCCAAGTGTGAATCAAAATTTTCTCAAGAGGATCTGTATATGGGGTAAAAATGGGAGCTCATAACCCACTTGAATCTAAGTGTGAAATATGATATATCAAGAACTATGTAATGTTTTGAACAGCCAACAATAAAAAATTTAAAAAAAGAATTTTTAGAATCAGTTAAGTTACTGGAATGTGTGGGTTAAATAAAAAATAATGAAATATGAAAAAAAAATTTTTCTCAAGAGGAAAATGTTGGTTCTGAACAATAGGGAAACACTCATGTTTAATTTTAGATTTAGAATGAGATCAGAGAAGGGGCTTCCTCCAGTTTCCTTGATTGATGAGACTACCTAATTTGAGAACATACATTAGCCTTCTAATGAAGACTGGAAATGAATCCTTTAGACTTGAAAGTTTTGAATTTAGCTTTAGGAAAATTTGTAATTCTTTGTGTGTACTGGCATAAAGAAGCAGAAAGCCCAACAGAAAATTACCCATATCAATAAGAATTATTAATTATTAATTATTAATTATACCAGGGCATGTAAATTGAATAGAATATTGATTGAATATGAAAAACCTGTTTGAATACATTTATTTATTTGTTTATTTTAGTACTGGGAACCAAACCCCAGGTCTGACACATGTAAGGCTAGCATTTTATCACTGAGCAATATCCCCTGCTCTTAGTATGTTTAAAATACTTTTAAAAAGAAAAACAATGGGTTATTGTTCAAAGTCCAGGTGCTTATTTAATTGCTTTGAAGTCTATAATAATTTAATCATTAAGAATGAAACTGAATATGTTGATTTATAGAGTTAACTTGCTAAGAAAATGATTAGTTGTATTATAAAACTGTAAATTCTGTGAAAGCAGTAACAGCTGATTTTGCCAGAGATCAAATAAAGACTTGTTGAAGTGAACTTCATCCTTTTCTTTTTTTTCCTTTGTCTGTATTGGGAGGTTCTGATAGATAGAACATATCTTTTATATTTTCAAATCCTTTTGTATTTTCAGACTCAGCATAGATCCCTGTGTCAGGGGTCAATAATTTTTTCTTTTTCTGTTATCATGTATATCTAAAAAGAATATTTTGATACTCTTTTCAACAAAACATTTATGAAAATTAAATTTCTAGTTATACGTTTGTTAAAAAAATAAAAAGAACAAATAAAATTTAAAATGAATCAATATTGAATGTACAACTCATCCTGCCAATATCTTGAATCAATAATAATCACTTTCTTCATTGCTGTTGAGCTTTACTAGAGAATATCAAATGATTGTGCTTATCAGCACTGCTACCCATTTATTCATCCCTTTACATTTGAAAATATTATGTATATAGATATGTTGTTATGTATCATCATAGAACTTAAAACTGAGAAATTTTAAAAATATTCATTTTAAAATCTATTTTAAAATAATAGTAAAGCCATTATATATTAACATAACAGTTTTATGAAAACCACAGCAATCGGAAAACCAAAAGTATTTTCTACTAAAAATGGTACAGTTTTGCCTTTTTTGTTCTGGATTTTCAAACAGTTTTCTTTCTTTCTTAGATCTCAAATCAACACTGGCTCTGTGCAGTCAGCAAACATGCCCAACACATGGTAGCTACTTAAAATATATGTATGAAATGAATATCCAGGTCTCTCCTATCCTAAAAGTAAATGTCTTACTGCTTAATAGTTTCTAGCATTGAGGAAGTGTTTTCAAAATCTGACTCTTGAGAGTTTTGAAACAGCAGTGTGTACTTGGTCATGAATATTTTAGCTTCATCTAACATATTGCAGTCTGATATTTGCTACTAACACTCTACTGAAACTGCTCCCAGTCAGGTCACCATTTACAAATATACTATTGAATGTTCAGATTGATGTTGAATACCACTTTTTTCTTGTTTTATATTTCCCCCATGAAAAGGAGTTAAAATTTATTGTATACTATTGAATGTTCAGATTGATGTTGAATACCACTTTTTTTCTTGTTTTATATTTCCCCCATGAAAAGGAGTTAAAATTTATTGTATGCTTTGTTTTGATACTAAATGTCTGAAATGTTACTGTTTACCCCAAGGTTATCAATTATCCTGCTACATTGTATTTATTGAGCTTTCATATGTTTTTTTTCAGCATATCTGGAATTGCTTTATGTGTGATATGTGGATAGAAATATAGTTTCATTTTAGATAGATTAACAATTGGCTCAGTACCATTAATTGACTAGTGTGTCATTTTTTTTTTTTTTGCAATCCCTGCCTTTCAAAAAAAATCTACTTTGATGCTAATGTCACACTGTTTTACATAAAACAACTTTATAAAGAGTTTTGAACTATAGTAAAACCAGTCTCTGTGTTCCTCATTAATTCCTTTGATAAGTATGTATTGGATAAATATTTATCAGGCATTCTGACAGAAATGGTGGGTGAACAAAATGATAGAAGTGAACAAAATGGATAGAAGTGAACAAAATGGACAAAAGCCTTTTCTTTCATTAAGCCAATGTTCTAGTGGAAAGACAGACCAACATAGAACTAAAACATATGGCATATGGAGGTAAACACTATGGAAGGAGGGACAGGAGATAGAATTGGGTGGAAAGTGGCACCAGTTTAAATGGTCAGAGAAGAACTTACTGAAGAGACATTTCAACCAAGAACCTAAAGGAGGAAAGAGAGCAGCCTGTGCAGACAGCTATGGGAAGAGTGTTTCAAGAAAAAAATAAACAATGGCAAAGGCTTTGAGGAAAGAGTGTTTCTGAAATAACAGGTGAAAGCAAGGAGGACAAAATGGCTGGGAAGGAGTGAGGAAGGTAAAGAGCAGCAGGCATGAAGTCAGGAGGGCAGCAGGGGCAGTCTCCATGGGCATTTGTGGGTCATACAAGGACACTGAGTTGGAAGCTAATGGAGTGTTTTGAGTAGAGAATTGTACTTTGTAGTCATCCTTGACTCCTCTATTTCTTTAACACCCTAAATACGATCTGTCAGTAAAGCTTCCTGGTTGTGCTTTCACAGTGTAAAAGCACAGAATCCCACTACTTCCCACTTTCTACTCTATTATAGTCTAGTTTTCATCGTCACTTGGTCCATGTCACTGTTATTATTCTTTTATTGAAAGAGCCTCCTTGCTATTTTTTCTGTACTTGTTTCACTTCATTTTCTTATCAATGCAAAAACTAGAGTAATCCCTCCTCTGTTAGAGACCCTTGAGTGAGTGGTTCCCTATGTCACTGAATCAAAGTTCTTATGTTGACCTACAAAGTCCTGCAGGGCTTTAAAAAATATTGTTGTTGTTGTTGTTGTTGTTATTATTATTATTAGGACTGAACCAGGGTCATTCTACCACTGAGATACATCTCTAGTTCTTTTTATTTTATTTCACTATTTGAGGATCTTGCCTAGTAGTTGAGACTGGCCTTGAACTTGTGATCTTCCTGCTTCAGCCTAGCTGGGATTAAGGCATGTGCCACGATGCCCCTGCTAATCCTGCAGGACTTTGCCTCTTCCACTTTATGTCTCAGTCCTACTATTTCCCTCTTGCTTTTATCAGCTCCAAGAATTGGCCTCTTTGTTGCTTCTTAAAAAATGACATGAATGGTCTACACTTGCAGTTCCCTCTGCCAAGAAAGTCTTGTTCCCAATAGCTACACAGTCTGCACTCTTCAGGTCTTTGCTATAATAGCTATTGATTGAAATCTTCCTCAACACTCTTTTTAAAATTTCAGCATTGCCTAGTCATTTCCTTATTCCTCTTTGCTGTTTGTCCACAGCACTTGCCATTATCCGTCAAAATTTTTTTATGTTATTTATTTTCTTTCTCCCCCTCACTAGAATTTAAACTCCATAAAACATGGATTTTTATTGGTTTGTTCACCTAACACCTAAAGAGTTCGGATAAATCTTTATTGAATGAAATTTCAGAGTTTGTTTGAAAAGCAAAAAGACATTAAATTACTAAATACACAGTTAACAATAAATTCTACTAGAGCATTATAATTACAGAGAAAGCTATCAAGAAGGAAGAAGTATTATGAGAGTATTAAAAAAAATGTCTAATTTTGTCTGAGAAGGGATCAAGAAAGGCTTCTCTGAGAAGTCAGATGTGTATGTGTGTGTGTGTGTGTGTGTGCCCTTAGATCTGTTAGACAAAGAGAAGGAAGATGAGCAATTCAAAGTAATTAAGTTACTTGGGAAATTGGCACATACTGTTTATAATTTAAAATCAAATAAAGAGTAGTGTCTATCTTTGAGGAGTTTTAAATAATAGGAAATCAGCTGCTTTGGACATTCATCTGTCTAAAGCAGGATATAGGATCATGTGACCTCTTGAAGCAATTTTTTAATTGAGTGAGATCACATAAAGATCTCAAAAGAGCTGATAGTAGCAAGAAAAGAAGAGCAGCTAAACTCTCATTAAAGATTATGAACATTTGCAATTTATAAGTGTTCAGATTGGATTTCAGGGCCAGGTAAAGATCTTTATGTGTGAGTATTTGTAGCTTATACAAGCACTTTGAGTTCGGAAACAAAATGATAGTCTGAGCCATAAAAACAGTGTCTTGGGGCAAGGAACTCTGTGTTTTTATATTTTAAAAATCTCTTTCTCAAAATATAGCTAAGCCCTTTATATAACTTGATGTTTTCATATTATAATAAGTGAAGACTATATGTTTATCACACCAATGATGTTTTGTGAAGTGTTATTAGATGGAAAGTCAAGAAATAGCCTTTAAAACTGATTAGGATCATCCAGTCAGCAGTTTAGATTAAGTGTCCAACCAGAAATTGAAACAAATGGTCTGAAAGTGGAATAGAATATTTGAAGCAGAATTTTCTTTTCTTTTCTTTTTTATATAGTGTGTAGCTTTTCAGATAGGATTTTTTTCTCTAAATAATATTTATTTAAATTTCTTACCCGTCTTTTGGGAACATGATATCTCATTTCTTTTGAGCACTGAATAATATTTTATTGTCTAAATGCATCACTGTTTACATATTCACCTACTTAAGGACATTTTGGTAGCTTCCAAGTTTTTGAAATTAGGAATAAAGTTGTTATAAACGCCTTTGTGCTGTTTTGTGCAAATAAAAGGTTTGAATTTATTTAGGTCAATACAAAGAAGCACAATTGCTGAGTCATGTGTAAAAGCATGATTAGTTTCTTAAGAAAGTGCCACATGGCTCCAAAGGTAGCTGAACCATTTTACATTTCAAACATTGATTGAAATTGCTTGTAGCTCCACGTCCTTGCCAGTATTTAATGTTTTGGAGTTTAACCACTCTGGAGTGTATATAGTGGTATATCATTGTTTAAGTTTGCAATTTTTTAATGTGAAACATTTTCTCATTTGCTCATCTGTCATCTGTATGTATCCATATTAAGGCACTTGCTCAGATGTTTGCCCATTTTTTAGGCTGTTTTCTTATTGTTGAGTTTTAAGAGTTCTTATACAGTTTACACAATAGTCCTTATTGAAATACGTTCTTTGCAAATGTTTTCTATCAGTCTGTGGTTTGTCTTCTCTGTTTTCTGATAGTATATTTAAAAAATACTGAATTCTTTTTTTTATATATGACAGCAGAATGCATTACAATTCTTATTACACATATAGAGCACAATTTTTCATATCTCTGGTTGTATACAAAGTATATTCACACCAATTCGTGTCTTCATACATGTACTTTGGATAATAATGATCATCAGATTCCACCATCATTTCTAACCCCTCCTCCCTCCCTTCCCTTCCAATCCCTCTGCCCTATCTAGAGTTCATCTATTCCTCCCATGTTCCCTCTCCCTATCCCACTATGAATCAGCCTCCTTATATCAAAGAAAACATTTGGCATTTGTTTTTTTGGGATTGGCTAACTTCAGGTCTTTGCTGTAATAGCTACTGACCGAAACCTTCCTTAACATTCTTTTTAAAATTTCAGCATCCCCTAGTCATTTCCTTATTCCCCTTTGCTGTTTGTCCACAGCACTTGCCATTGAGTAGCATTGAATATTTGGTCATTTTAATACATACCAGTAAAAAATAATATAGGAATCCCTAACCTCAAATATTCTGTTTTCTCATGTGTAAAATGCAAAAATTTGTCAGAAGTGTGTATCTTATTTTTAATGTAAATGAATTTGTCCAGTTTCTCCTTATTTTTTTTTCTCACTTGTGTTGAGTGTATTGTCCTGCATGTCAGTCAGGAGGAGCTTGGTTATGCTGAGGGAAAAGCCAACTAAAATCTTTGTGTCTTAAAACAGCAGACGTTACATGGTGCTGAATGGCCATCACAGGCTGGCAGGGGGGCTCTGCTGATTAGTCACTTGGGCACTCAGGCTCATAGAAACTCAACCTGGACCTGTGTTTTTCAGTTCCTAATCAGATAGAGGTAATGCAATATGTCACACACTGGAGCTCATAACTTCTAGTCAAAGGTGACAAATGTGCACCTAAATTGACCACACCTAATCCAAATGACAAGAAGGCAAAAAAGTCTAATCCTACCATGTGTCTCAGAGAGGGCTTGGAAGATCTGTGAACAGCCAAAATGACTGCACATGTATGGGCAGGCTGAAAATATAACTCATTCTTTGAATGGAAAATAGTTTCTGTTCTTTTTAAATATACAGCCAGAAAGTACTAATTTATAACATTATTATTTTCAAAATTGAATAAAATTAACCTTTTAAATTAGTTTATGTATATCAGGATATAATTATAATATTTCTAATACAGTTTACAAATTTTATTCTCTATTTTTAAGCAAGGAGTTCCTCCACATATAAATACATATAAATAACCTTTATGTAGCTTAAAATTTTAACTGTAGTTTAATGAGTTTTCATTTGTTTTACTTTTCCTTTCCCTTACTCCTCACCTCCAGAAATTTTACCATTCACACTAGCATCCAGAGAAAAATAGTGTGGAATCTGTGTGGAATCATAAAATAATGTATAATATTTTACATTAGAATGAGAGCTGCCTATTTCTTCAAAATGTTATAATCACATGTGGGATCCTGGGAAATGAAAATACTGAAATCATTAAGATGTTTATAATTTTTAAACTACAAGTGGTATTTCCTTGTACAGGTCTTTCATGATGTTGCTTACAAAGCTAAAGATCGCAATGACTTGGTATCAGGGATTGATGAATTTCTGGATCAGGTTACAGTTCTCCCTCCTGGAGAATGGGACCCCAGCATTCGAATAGAGCCTCCCAAGAATGTTCCTTCACAGGTATGTATATTTGAAAACACTCTTTAAAATGTCATAATTTTGTTTTCCTTTAAATATATGTCCTAAAATAATATAACCCTTCAGAAAGATTCAAATAGCTGAAGCATGAATTTACAAAAGCTTTCTTGATACTACTCTGCAGAAATTTAGCATTTCAAATGCAAGCCACTAAATCAGTCTCATGCTCCTGGAAAGGGATTTTACATGGGAAGAAAATTAAAATTTTAATGACAACATAAAATATGGCCTGGGATAAAGCTTACCAGTCCTTTGGGGTTCTGGATACATTACTTTGAATTTGGCAATTATTAGGAAAATTTCAAGGCATGGCTTAATGATTTTATACAGAAAACTTCCTGTTACTACTAGCCACAGTGAAAATTGGGAAGAATTTTTTAGTGTAATTCTTATATTTTTATTACTTTTATGTAGATTTGTGATATAAAAGTTGTAAAATTTTTGCCTATAAAATTTGAATATGTATTTTATCCATCATACATTCCAGAAAGATATTGCTATTGTTTGGGTCATTTTTTATTATAGGCATGACTGTTGAGAGTGGTAGCCAAATGTTTACAAGTCCCCCTCCTCATATTGCCACCTATTTCCTAGGGGATAAGCCTTTCAAATGACCCCAACAATATCCTTTTTCTCTGCCTTGCCTTTGGTTCTTGCCCTGAGGGAGTCCCGCCTGGTCTGACTTGCTGCTCTGGTTCAAGTGACAGGTGGCCTGACTGACACAGTCTTGGGTTAGTCAGAATTGGGCAAATGAGCAGGTGTATCACTCAACAATGAGTATGTATAAAGGTCATCTTGATTTTACTATCAATTTAAAGAAAATATATTAATATTTTATCCCTATATTTTTATTCTGAAGTCATTCTATAATTATTAAAGACTATTCACTTTCATTTACAATACCATTTTTATGATTTTATAACTGCTATTACATAGTTTCAGTTGTTCTACTACTAAAATAAAAGCAGTTTCTTAAGGAATAATTGTAAGGATTGCCTTTTTCTGTGTTGTATACATCTTCCCACTAATGATTTGGGAAAGGCAAGATTATGCTCTCTGAGTTAATTAAAAAAAACTCTTTAATTGATGTCATTTGGATAAATTCGGTGATAATATAAAAGCATGGAAAATGTGACTTTAAAAGTCACTGTAACACCAGTTAGTTACTCAAACATTAAAGTTGAAGTAAAATGTTTTTTTTTTTAAATACCCTGTTTTTGAGGCAAGTCAAGAATGGGAGGTCTGTACTTTCCATTATTTGTATGAGAAAATACAAATTAATTAGTAAATTCTGAGTATTGAGAGACAAAAGTTCAAAGAACATTGAATTAAGAATCCAGACATCTGGGTTCTGCCATTATTCATTTGTCTGACCTTGAACAAATACTTTATTTTCTGATCTTCTGTTATCAGTGCTGCCCAGAAGAACTTTCTGCAATGATGGAAATGTTCTAAATCTATGCTACAAAATAACTAAGCCATTATTGAGCACTGAAATTGTAGCTCCTGCAACTGAAGAACAGAAATTTTATTTAATTTAACTTAAATTCATATAGACATGTGGTTAGTGGCTAACATATTACACAGCAAAATTCTATATAATGAGTTTGAATCAGAAATACTCTGAATGCTTCATTTCAATGTTAATATTTTCAAAGGCATGTTATGTTTATGTAATAATATGAATCTGTGTTTTCTTCTATTAGATGTAGTAACATGAATGAACATATATTAAGCACCCTGACTTCATACTCATTCAGATAATATTTTCCCTGATGGAAAAAAAATTCTGTAGTTTTTATTCTTTTGAAATGTGCAAATCACAGCATCTTAAATACTTTTTTCATTCAGTTAAAAGAAGAATAACCTGCCACCTCAAAGAATAACCCTGAAAATATTCATTAGAACTTTGTGTCATTCATTCTAACGATTCCCTTTTATGTACCCAAAACTTTTATATTTTCTCATGCCACGTACTTGCTTGTCAAAATCACAATCCTGTTAGAATCTTTACTTTGTATCTGTACAATATAGCTGAAGCTGAAGGAAAATGTATAATTGCATTGACAGTTCTTACATTATTTCAAGACCACAACCTCAATAGGACTGTTAATGTTGCAAGTTTATCATACTTGTCTTCTCAAGTCCAATCTTTCTCTTTAGATGATGATTTCACAACTGTTCTCTCCTCAAATCTTCATCATATCTTTCCTGACCCTCACTCTCATAGGTTGACTTGCTTTTTCCTGAGAAATTCAAGAAAACCAAAAAGCATTTTCCAATGACTCCTGCCATCACACTTAACCTGTATGCCAACAGTGGTATCCACATGTGCTGCCATCTTACATATTACTCCTGGGGAACTATTTGAAGCCAGCCTTCTACTTGTGCATTAGATTCTATCTCTTCACATCTACTCAAGGACATTACCATTATCTTTCTCCTGTATATCATGAATTATTTTGTTCTGTGTTACATTTTATTAGCATACAGTATAGTGTTAACTTGCCAATCTTAAAAAAATAACTATTGATACCACTTACCACTACCTCTGCCAGTAAGTTACATTTCTTGTTTATCTTTGCAACAGAATGTCACAGAAGAGTTCTTTGTACCACCTGCCTGAAATTCCTCTCCTCCAAGTCTCTCTCAACATCTACTCCAATAAAACTCTTGCCCCCTGCTGCCCTGACTTCACTTAAATACTTAACATGATGGTCACCAATGATCTCCATAATGCTAAATCCCACGGTCAACTCTCAGTCCACATTTTATTTAACCTATCAACTAATAGTATTTGACAGAGTTGATGATAATTTTTTTCCCTTGGTAGATTTGCTTGACTCCCCAATCATCACACTCTTAGTTTCCTACAATCCCATTGATCACTCCTTCTCAGACCCCTTCTCTGTTTCTTCTTCTGATTTTTTTTTATGTTGAAATGACACAAGGCTCAGACTTTAATCATTTTCTCTTTTCTGTTTACATTCTCATGAGGATATCATCTTATCTTAGAGTCTTAAACTTTCCTGAAATTCATTTTCCACCCTGCACTTGAGTGTTATTATCCAACTGCCTATCATGTGACTTTACTTCAGTGTCTTCTATATATCTACAGGTTAACATGTTGAAAGTTTGAACTGATTTGTCCATTGTCCTGTTTCTATACCTATATACATCTTTGCATTTATGATTTTAGAAAAAGACAATATAATGTTTCCCAAAGTATATAAAAACCACTGATATTTTCTCAGAACCTGTTGCATTCACACCTCCCCACCTTGGTTAACTACTAACTACATCCTTAGCATTGATCAGGCTAAAATCATCAATTCTTTTTTTTTCTTATACCAGACTTCTATTCTGTAAGGAAATTCTATTGCCTTAACATTCAACATTTATCCATAATTATGTTATTTTTCACTACTGCTACTGTTACAACCCTGGTTCATCCTGCCATCATCTCCTGGATTACTGAAATAACCTCCTAACTGGTTGGCTCATTGTTTCATCCCTGGGCTTCTAGAATCTGTTCTTGACATAGCAGCCAAAGTAACTTAAGTTCTGTTATGCCACTCCTTTCCTCAAATGTTCATTTCACTGAGAATAAGAGCCAGACCCTTACAATGGACAATAATATACACTATCTGACTTCTCTTTACATCTGAAATATCTTTCTGCCATTTTTTTTTCTTTCTCATTTCTCTCCAACAAGATCTCCTTGCTCCTGTTCTTCAAGCTCTCCAGCCACTCTCCCCATTATGAGTGCCCCACTGGCTATTCTTTTTATCTGGATATCTCCTGGTTATCTCCTGGCTAATGCCCTTATCTCCTTCAAGTTCTTCACAAATGAGCCTTTGTCACCAAGCCTGCCTGACCCCTCTACTTATTATAGCCAGACTTTCACCTACCCACCACATACCCCAGACTCCCCCAACTCTGCCCTATATGTTTCTTCTTCCGTAGCTCTTGCTTTCTAACACACAGTAGAATTAATTTACTCATTTAATTTTTTGTCTGCCTTTCCATAAGAATATAAGCTCCATAGACCCAATTTGTCCACTGGTATATTCCAAGGGCCTAGTATATTTTTGAAATATCAAAATACTTCTGTTTCAGATCATTTAACATTTTCTATATTTCCTTCAGAATAAGTATTGGTATTATTCATACACATTACATTTTTTTCAAATGCCATTTTCCTTTCTCTTTGAGGAAACATGTACTTTAGAATGGTTAATATCTTTCATGATTTATCATTTATTTTCATCAATGTATGGCTTTTTAAAAACTGTAAAACGATGATTTAACTTATCCAGAAGGGATAGTTTTCCCAGAAGACCAAATATTATCACTTGCTTTCTACTACTGGTGGGTGCTATGAAAAATTTCCCTAGGTAATTAGGAAGTAGATCTTGAGGACCACTTTTACATCCCTTTGTTCTGTATTATATCTTTTTTTATTACCATATAACATACTATCAACTTGCTAATCTTAAATGTATCCTATTTACCTGTGAAGACATTTTCATCAGTTGATAGATATTTTATATTCATACTTTAGTCTCATTGTATCTATTCACATGCCCAGGGAAAATGTAAAAACATTAAGCAATGAACTGTTCTCTATTGTGCTCATTACAAAAATCTGTTTTTCTCATGTTTTAAACATGAACCATTCTAAATTTCCCATTGTGCATAGACCAGTTGATAAGTCACTTTTGTGCTTCACATTTACACTATTTTGGAATGGCATTCAAGTACAATTTTTAATTGTACCACTTAATTTTTTTAAACTATCTTTTCAAGTGCTTTTGAACTCATTGGTGTACTGTACATGGTGGGATTATGTATAGGGCTTTCCAGTTTTTTTTTTTTTTAACTTCTCTCCCTGATAAAGGTGGGTGGAATAAATCTAAGGGAAAATAACACATAAACTTCCATTAATTTGTCATTGGTTCAATTAGATGCTTTCTTTTATAATAATGTTTGGGTATATGAATCAGAAAGCCTTATCAATTATTCCTTGGGTACAAAGATATTAGCTGGAATTAAGGAGGGAAATACAATTTAAAATTAACAGATAGTAGTGTTTATTGAACAAACTATGCCATGCATAGAACACCACCATGCCTAACACCTTCTTACTCTAGCCTACCCCATCAACCCGTCTTTCTCTTTTTCCAGTATTTCACTTTTCTTTGTAGCTCCTATATTTACCTCATGTTACAAGTTTATTGTATACCCATCAATAGAATGCTTTTTATTTTAGTTTTTTCCTTCATCTGCCTCCTCTACCTCTGCCTCCTTCTTTTCTTTCTTTCTCTTTTATGGTCTGGGGATCAAACCCAGGAAAATGGGCATGCTAGGTGAGTGTTTTACCCCTGAGCTATATCCATAGCTCTTAGGATGTCTTTTCTTCCTTACCTTTGCAACTCTAGCGTTAATAACAATTAATGACACACATTAGGCACAGAATATACATTAATGGAAAGAATAAATAAATAAATGCCCATTACCTCATTTAATTCTCTCAGTGATACTGTAAGATAGGTATTATTGTTACCACCAATAAATAGAGGAGGGAACTAAATCTTTAGGAGGCTAGATAACTTCTCAGAGGTCAAGCAGACTATAAGTCATACAACCTGTGTTCTTAGCCACTCTGCTTATTGCTTCAAGAAAAAAAAAATACTGTTATTTGCAATTAACCTGGAATTAAAACAAAACAAAACAAACAACAAAACAAAAACTTCCTGCAGGAAAAGAGGAAGATTCCTGCTGTACCAAATGGAACAGCAGCTCATGGGGAACCTGAGCCTCACGGGGGACATAGTGGACCTGAACTCCAGCGAACTGGAAGGTGAGTGAAAATCACTTGTATGGGACTTCAAGGAGCAAATGACATATCATTCTTGTCTGTCAGGAATTGTTATTTTGAGATCTAATTTATTTCATACTTTTAGTACTATTTGGGGGTGAAAATGTCAATTATTTGATTTCTCTGCAGTTACTAATGATTATCATTAGTGTTAAATCAGAACAATGGATACACCATCTCATTTTATCTTACCTAATCTTTCATTTTGCTGTGCATATGCATTCACAGATCCTGTGAATGAATAAGAAAACTGTCAATTGACTCTTCCAAAAGAGCTTGTTGAAAGCTTCAAGTTCAAGATGGAAATGAAACTAAATACCAATAATTCAGTCTTGTAGACCTTATCTCATTAAATGCAAGCAGGATGTATATAATGGTACTTGTTATTTTTATGGCTGTGATTTGAAAGAGCTATATGATTTATTTTTCTAATCACACATCTTTGAAGAGATGAAAGCTTCAATTTATTTCATAAAATGGTGCTTTATGTTTTTTTGACAGCTTGTCTCTCTCCAAGCAATGTGTGAGCAGAAAATCAGAAACCCTTGGGTGGGTCTGTCTTCAGGGAATTTGTGTGTACAGCCTCCACTATAATTAAAGGCAATTGCAAAGGCCCCACAGGACTGGTGCCCCCGCCCCTCAAGGCCATTTTCTGTACTGCTTGCAATGTGTCCTCTAAGCTGGCTTTCCAGTTCCTGACGACTCTGTGCATCTTAATTCTCCTGTGTTCTTTCCCTTCATCTATGTTTTGTCTCTGAGGAAATGTCCTTTAACATCTTCCTTAGGCTCGATACCTAATTTGAGATGGTTTAATTTTTTTCTTTCTCCCGTCAGTGGAAGCTTTGTAACTCATTCTGTTCACTTTCATACTTTCAAATGCAGTCCTTTTATTTTTGGTGGTATTTTTTTCTTTCTCTCTCAGGTGTAACATACCACTTAGCTTAGATTTTTTTCGAGTTCACTTTTCCTTACTGCTTCCTAAATCCTCCCAGGTCACCAATATCCGGTATCTTCGCTTCTCCAGAGTTCTTCCACAGATTCTGTTGCTGACATGACTTGAAGTATCCATTACTCATCTGCTCTCCTGGAGTTGCTGGTGTACATCTGGGCTGCTCTTGCACTGTTCTCTGTAATGAATTCCCACTTCCGGATTTAGATTTTTTAATGCTAAAAGCACATTTATTACAGTTATTTAATAGCTAGTCAGACTAATGTATGCTCTAATAAGTAATTAATTAGAAGCCAATGGTATAATATAAATAGCTATAAATAATATCAAATAGCTATATATTAATTACTAATTAATAGCTTATAACCACCTCAAATTCTTTTTTGGGATTAGGTAGCATATAAATCATAAATGAATGCATAGTCTAGTAGAGTAACACTGTTTGAACTGTGACTTAACAAAGTATTCAGAAATTTTTAAAAATTACTCAAAATTAAATATACATATATTTTGACAAACACAGGCAGAGGAACCTAAGGTGAGCTTTTTATGTGTATAAATTTCACAGACAAGCTTCTCTGAGTTTCTAATGTCCTTTTTTTTCCCCCAGTTAAAACTTTATTCTTTTCAACCTTTTCCTGATGGAAGAAATCACTAGGAAAGCAGTGATTCTGTGCTCAAATAATCATAAAATAGTTATTAATTGAAACTATTTGTTTACATCAGGTCAAGGAAGTTAGAGAAAATAGTCAAATTTTCAGTAATTCTGAATATATACATATTCCAAGGCCAACTAGAATTTACTTCTCAAGAGAACAATTACTTTTGAGATGATTCTAAGACTGCCAAATGAATAATCCTATTCATAAAATGAATAACAAAAGTTTGACATTTTTGTATGATCCAAGTATATTTAGCATACTGACATAACTTTGGAATATAATGAGGTTTTTCACCATAAATTTTCATGTGGGAACTTCAATGTGGTTTTACTCAGTTTACTATCACATCTTTATTCCATGAAGCACACAGATCTTTCAGCAGTCAACGTTAAGTCTGAATATCATTATTAAATTTCAAAGAATTAAAATACCTAACATTAATGTTTATTAGTGTTCTCATTCCTAATAGAGTAAAAAAAATAGTTCTCAAACTTTAAGCATCATTTCATAATTTAATAGTCCCTTGCCAAAATTTTTTTTATTAAGTGTTCCAGTGTGGGTTTGGGGTATATTTGTATGGAATTATACCTACTGGGATCTTGATAGATGTTGGGATATGTTCAGGCAATAGTGGATCAAAATTACGTTTATCCAGTTCAGTTATTATCAGTTTGTTCTTTAGTTTCCTAAAAATACCAACAACCCTTGAATCTATCTGTCTCTACTAAGTATTGCTGTTATGCACAACACAAGGCCATTTAGATGTCTGTTTGGACATTATGTGGTGAGGGGTGAGGAATTTTTTTTTTGTTTTCTCCCAGAGAGACTAGGTAAGTGAAGCCATGGTAAAGCACTGCATTTTTTTCTCTAAGGTGATGTTCAGTATCGGTGTGTACAAAAGTCAGTTAACCCTCCCTCCCTTCACTTCTGTTATGCTAAATGGAATGTAAGCAATTACAAAATACTGCCAATGATTGAGAGTGGTAGGCCTGAGTTTAGAATGGTGTAGGTTGATATAGAAATGGCACAGAGAGTAGAGTAACCCTTGAATCCCAATATTTGAATGTTGATTGATGAATAGCCTTGAAAGAGTCTTGGAGTTTTAGTTTTTGACACAATATTTGGTTAAGAATCGAGATAACATAGTGGTACAAAGCCATCCCTATAGATCATGATAACATAATGTAGCAGGTTATTGTGGGTCTCAACTCTGCTGATGGAAAACATATACTGTGGCCTGGCAACAAAGCAAGTGAGCACTTCTATATATTTTTTTATATTTGGGTTTCACTATTGTGTTTCCCCCCATGTCCTAGGATTTTTGGGGGACTTATCTTAGATATCAAAAGAAAAGCTCCATTCTTCTGGAGTGACTTCAGAGATGCTTTCAGCCTGCAGTGCTTAGCATCTTTTCTGTTTCTCTACTGCGCCTGTATGTCTCCTGTCATCACATTTGGAGGACTGCTGGGAGAAGCAACTGAAGGTCGTATAGTATGTATTATCTTTTCTCTGAACTTTGAAACTGATTTGTTTGTAAGATTAATAGTAAGATAAGTGAACCTTTAATATTGGATTCTGTTATAAGGAGAGATTTAACGTGTGGTGTGACCGATAAAACTCATGTATGACTTTTCTGGACAAGTAGTGGGGAACTGGTAAACTAGGAATGGTGTATCTCAGAATAACTAATTCTGAGTCCTACATGAGATTTCTGACTGATCCCTTGATCCCTGTCCCCAGTACCAGGCCAGTTTTAGGCTCTGGTTCTTACCTCACAAGTCCATTTCTAAAATATCTGAGCCATGTTTCTGTCTAGACACTATTTCTAAATATGTTCAAACTTTCTGTGAGGTAAGAGACAAGTGAGGCAGGAAGGTAGAGAGGACACTTCCCATTTGTTACCATTCATTTTTGCCCCTCTTGGCTCATTCCCCTGCTCCTATTCTATATTCTTCCCAGAGTTGCCAGGCTTTGCATAGTGAAGAAAAAAAGAATGAACCTGTATATTTTAAACATTTCTTAACTAGTTTCAATGGCCACCTGTACAGTTTAGGTAATGGAAACATTTATATCTTTACACAGAGTGCAATCGAATCTCTCTTTGGAGCATCCATGACCGGGATAGCCTATTCTCTCTTTGGTGGACAACCTCTTACCATATTAGGCAGTACAGGACCAGTTTTGGTGTTTGAAAAGATTTTGTTTAAATTTTGCAAGTAAGTGTTACATACTCTGGCCCTCAGTCCCTCTCTTTTTCTTTACTGTGTTTATTCTTTTCCTAACATCAATTTTGAAGGTCTGTTGAGAAAGTTGGAAGCAGCTGAGTTGATCCAGTTTGTCATTTCTGTCTCAGTGGAAACAGAGGGAAAGTCAAAGACTTATGCATATTGTTATATAATGTTAATAAAAACTAAGATTCAGTTCTAAGCACTGAGGAACCTCTTTTAGTTTTGTCCCTGAGTTGTTCCCTTTAGACAAAGTCTTGAGTTTCATTACTGGGGATATGAAGCTTATTGAATTAGGCTTATTTCTACTTATTTTATATGGTGGCAGGCTGTAAAATGACCTTCTTCCCACTATTATTTCCTTTTGTTCCTCCTAGAGAATATGGGCTATCATACTTATCTTTAAGAGCCAGTATTGGACTTTGGACTGCAACATTATGTATCATACTTGTGGCCACTGATGCCAGTTCCCTCGTCTGCTATATCACCCGGTTTACTGAAGAAGCTTTTGCTTCTCTGATTTGTATCATTTTCATTTATGAGGCTCTGGAGAAGCTGTTTGAACTTGGTGAAGCATATCCAATCAACATGCATAATGATTTGGAACTGCTGACACAATATGCGTAAGTACCATTTGCCCTGTTGTCTGTGGAACTTTTCTTTTCACAAATATTGTCATTGTTATAAGAAATATGAGGAACTTACTCAACAGAAGCTATGCCTTAAATTGATTCATGACCTACATCCTGGACTTTCAGAGTTGAATAGGATTCTAAAAGTCAATTAATTAGTCACTCATCTAATTATTGAGTTTATTATACCATTTCTGCCAAGAATATCTTCCAAAATTTCTATTTCTCAAGTAGTCCCTAAAATAAGTAGATAAGAAAACAAGTCAATTTTAATTTACATTGATTTTGACTTTGGAAAATATGTGTTATTTTGGTTTTCTTTTAAGTTCTTTTCAATGTATTATAACATAGTAATGAAAATCTAAGATTTCAGACATAAAGCAATGAGGTAAAAGAAACTCACTGAATTTGTGTTAGGTTGATGTTTGAAAATATGATAAAAATGTAAGTGAAAATTACTGAAATGAAATATTGCAGTATATGGCATTCATGGTAGAAATACTCCGGAATTTCTCACTGAATTATATTATCGTTGAGGATTAAAGATGAGATTGCACCTATTGCTCTTTCTAGTTTTGTTATACCAGCAGTTGGAAATTTCTCAGGTTGTTCCTGTAGAGTATATGTGGCCATTAAATAACTCTTTCATTTAATTCTAGAATTTTCGATTGCATTTATATATAGATTTGTATACAGCAAGTATTTGAAGCAATATATTCTTTCTGAGACACTTATAACTTCTGCATCAATCACCAGGGTTTATCCTTGGAACTGCTTAGATGTGGGTGGCCTCAAGCTTCTTGAGTCTTTATTTACTACTAGTTGTTGAATGTTATAATTTTGTTAAGAATGATCTAATGATACATTTATCTAATGATACAGTGTTGAAAATAAAATGGTTCTTTAACTTTTTCTTGGTTTTCAGAGATAGATTAAATAATGCATGCATCCCTATTTTTAGACAAGAACCAAAGGGGTAATGTAAAATAACTTTCCAATAAAAATATATAAAATAGTATGAATAGTATTAAGAAGGGAATAAGAGTAGGTGTCTGGGACACTCAGAAAGAGGCAGATTGTAAGAGCAATTAACCAGAACCAGGGATAAAATTGATACATGCCTTTTCATTTATCTTTACTTAAAAAGAGAGCAGTATACTTGATTTTAGTTATCTTTGTTGGGATATACAATTCTTTCTGTAGGATTTTTTTCAAACTGATACATGGCAGGTACTATGCTAGGTGCTGGGGAAATCATGAAAAAAGATATTCTGTCCTGCAGGAGTTTCCAGTTTACAAGGCACCAGAGACAGATAACATGATGAGATGAGTGCTGTGTGAAGACATTGCCAAGGTACTACCTCAGAAGAGTATCTCACCCAGATTTGGGGTTCAGAAAAGCCTTTCTAGAGGAAGTCCATAGAATAAAAAAATCAATAAGGGTTAGAAAGAGCTGAGGAATAGGGCAGGAAAGTGGTTCAGACAGAGGGCATGAATGTTCGAGATTCACTGAAGCTTTGAAATATTTGTCTGAAGTCAGATGGATAGTGGTAAAACACAAAACAAAATCCAGGTTTTATTACTTTGACATAATTTAGTACACCAATCCTAAAAATGAACAAATTAGCACTCCAAAAGAAATGATGTAGAACAAATAAAATAGGTAAAAGCAGAATGGTTTTATTTGAAGAGGTGGGAAGGCACCAATTACCCACCCTTCTGGATGTTCTGTCAGCCTCAGTGGCAGCTTTTCAGGGACTTCAGACTGAGGGGCCAGTTTGATATCCCCTTATCTAGAAAAGAGGAAGTTTAGAAAAGAAGAATTGAACCCTGGATAATGTTCACAGCTTGAGGGAAGAAGAATGAAAAAAATTGTAAATCAATAGATGAAAAAAAAAATAAGAAGAAGTATCAGAGGTGTCAGTTAAAGAGAAAACCACGGGGTGAGGTCAGGTTTCTATCCTGTGACTCCTTGCTTCTGATTAAGAATGATGTCACACATGTGTCATTAGCAATTCATGTTCTGGACTGGACAGATTTTCATATTGTGTACATGCATTTGATCAGGAATTGCCATTACTTGCTTTCTGGAAAAGCAAAACCAATCTTTTTATTTTGTTATGTATACATATATTTATTAGCATACTTTTAGTTATGTGCATTAAATAAAATACAAAAGTCATTGCTCATAACACCATTTTAATGTATTGCATACTTGCACAAAACATTTAATGTTTCATGAAGTTCCTATGACACTTGTAGTTGCTTGCTTGTTCTGACCTTTTCATATTAATAAATGTTAAGTGTCATTATCTTAATGCCTATCTAAAGTTTCTGCTTCAGATGTTGTTGGACTCATGCTTTCACAAATTTTATTAGAAAAAAAATTTTAGAAAATGTTATAGCCTGGACATACTATATCTGAGATTGCAATTTTTGTAAATTGAATATACCTATAATTGTATATATAAGCTATTATATGTCATATATTTTATTGAGGTGTAAGATATTGGGGAAAAAGCCATCATGTTCAGGATCTTCATTTCAGATATTCTTTGTAAATGGGCCTGCTATATGCAGATTTCCTTAAATTCATAGTTTACCAATCAAATAACAAAATGTTTTTGATTTGTAAAAAAAAAAAAATACTTTTCTAGTTCCCCTGGCATCTTAACCTCATAATGTGGTAATATGTAGACCTTACATTTGAAGATGCACACTTTCCTTTCATTGTGCCAAAAGCAAGTGTCAAGATAATCTATTTAGTTTTGAGAATATATATATTATACCAGACGATCAAACTGAATATGTCAAGTTAGAAATAAGTAATGAGTTTAAGCGAATAATTTTTCTTCTTTGCTTTGATTTTTTTCAGAAATGGCAAAAATAGAATAAAATGTTCTGCTTGTGTAAGATGAAATGTTCCTTCAGTGTATAATAATAATCTAAAGTTCTCAAATATGGCTAGTTAAAGAAAGATTAAGGATATACGGATGTTTTGCAAATGGTTGGGTCAAAGCAAAGTGCAAGATCTATTACTCTAATTTCCATATACATGTAGATTGGAGTTAAATAAAATATAACAATTATCAAGATGTCAAAGGAGTGATCTCACTACTATGTGATGTGCTATTTTTTTTCCTCTCTTATTTTCTCCAATACTTTATTCAGCCCTCTACACAATCCAGGATAGTGATCTGTTTTGAATAAATGATGATATTTAATATCCTTTTTCTCATCTCCAAGTAGATTTGAGTCTCCTGTAAAGTACAAAACATGTAACAATTTTATCCCCCATAGTACTAGCATAATACTATTGATGCTTAATACATATTTATTAACTAATCATGTTGAAAAATAATTGACATAACCTGGCCTGTCTTGTTGGACAAGTAAAGACAATTGTGCTAGTTCACATTATCTTTAGTATTATCATAAAGATTTCATCCAGAAACTTTGAATAAATTTGACAGATTATGAAATTCTTAATATGAAATAAAGATGTATAAACCTATATCAGAAAGTTAGTTCTGACTGAAAATTTGGACAAGGTGCCAATATGATGAACCCAGAACCCAGTGAAGCAGGACTAAAATTTGCAGTACTTCAAAAACTGATCAGGGATCGGGGAGAAAGAACATGAAAGAGAAGTTTTTATGGCTCATGGACCTTTTAGGACTTGAAAAATAAAAGGGAAAAAAATAAAGCATAAAGTACATTTAGGGTAACCTCTGCACTTCAACTTTCTAAAATCACATTTTTAGATGTATATCAACTAAATTAATTCAGAATTGTTTGCAGCATAATTTGTAATTATATCTTTATGTGTTTGAGTAATGCCTATGTGCCTCCACTAGTTTGATCCCCTTAATGGCAGGCCCAGGACTACTATGTGCACCTTTGCGTTCTCTACCTGCAAAACAATTAGCACATATGATATGAGCATGTTTGTTCATGTTTTTACATTTCTGAACATGCTTCTTAAGCTTGATATGCATATTGACATAAAGTTTTTCCTCTCCAAAAAAGCTAAATTTAAGAAGGTTGATTATCTGATGCCTTAAAATCAAATAAATAAGTACACTGAGTAAACAAACCTCTTACAACCAACTTCATTCTTGATAGAACTTCAGGACTTCTTGCTCCTATCTAATTATGATTTTAGTACACATTAATCAACATTTTGCCATCTCCCCACCACCCATACACACTCTACCTAGCCTCTGGTAACACTATTCTACTCTCCACTTCAATGACATCAACTGTTTCAGACTCTACATAAGAGTGAGATCAAGCAGTACTTGTCTCTTTCTATGCCTGGTTTATTTTACTTAACATAATGACCTTTAGTTCTATTCCTGTTGTCACAAAGAACTTTCTCTTTCATGGCTGAACAATATTCTATTGTATATACATATCACATTTTCTTTATCTATTCATTAGTTTATGGACACTTAAGTTGTCTTCATGCCTTGGCTCTTGTGATTCATGTTGTAATAATCATGGCAGTGCGGATGTCTTTTAGACAGACTGGTTTTATTTCTTTTGGATACATACCCAGTAGTGAGATTGCTGGATCATATGGTACTTGTGTTTTTGATTTTTCAAAGAACCTGCATATTGTTTTCTACAACATTTGTACTAATTTACCCTCTCATTTACTGTATGAAAGGGTTCCTTTTTCTCCACATCAACTATTATTTTTAGTTTTTTTGATAATAGCCATTCTTACTGGGGTGAGATTACATCTCATTTTGGTTTTGTTTTGCATTTCCCTGATGATTTTTTACTGCTAAGCATTTTTCTTGTATCTATTCACATTTGTATTGTTTTCTTTGAGGGAAAAAAACATCTATTTAGATCTATTGTGCATTTTTCATTGGATTATGTGTTTGTTTCGCTATTGAGTTGTTTGAGTTCTTTACATATCCTGGTATTAACATCTTGTCAGATGGGTAGTTTGCAAACATTTTTTCCAATTCTATAGATTG